TTTGGATGTCAAAAGATAGTCTTTTATATTTGTCTTAAAGGTGGGGTAGGTAAGTTTGAGAAACCGGCTCGAGATACACTTGTTGTTATATTCCATGGAATGCTCTTAACATCCCGATAGCAATGAATATCTGAAGTGCTTTGAAGCCGTAGTACTGTGTTGGAGGAGGGGCTCTGTGAGGAAGGGGCAGATTTGTTCCGGTTGTGTATTTTCAAGTTCTAGCCACTCGAGCCGGTTTCTCCAAAATGACCTACCCCACCTTTAAGTAAAATAATAATATATATTTATATATTGTAGTAATAATGATATAATCTATTTATAATTGTAAATGTATATTGTATTTAGACATTGATTTAGATGTACATTTTGTTAAAAGAAAACATTTAAATAATTTAGTTTTTGGGAGAAGGGGTGGATTAAATAAGTGTAAACTTCTTCTAGGTAGAACATTTGTTTATATATAATTTGTAAGTCAATAATATCTTAGTTTATCAATTTGATACTGCTTAAGTTTGTACAGTATCATAATTCTCTTGTTTCATTTCATTATTATTATTGTTTTACACGTTCTAAATGAATCAAATCAAATGAAAATGAGCACTCACATTGTTCCCTACAGGTCCTTGAAGGCCAGGAGCTCCTGTCTTCCCAGGTGATCCCTGTGGGAAATATATTGATTAGAGTATCAGTTATACATTTGAGACACTTCAAAGCAAGCTCATTTACTTGTTCAGAGTTAACTATAAAGTGGTTTACTCACTCTTGGTCCTGGAGGTCCAGCGTCTCCGCTCAGTCCATCTGCACCGATGGCTCCCTGATGGAAAAATATATGATCAGAATCAGAAACAGGTTTATCACCAGGTAGGTTGACACGTACGAGGAATTTGACTTGGTGTTGTGCTGCATACATAAAAGTATTTTTTTTTTAAAACAACACAGACATAGCAAACTATTTTAAGAAGAGGAGGCATGTGGCGCAGAGGTTAGTGCGTTGGTGTTGGGATCAGGGGAGCACAGGTTCAAACCCCGCAGCAGTCAGCATGAGAGACTTCACCCCAAAGTGCTCCTGTGGGGATTGCCCACAGTATTGAGTATGTTAGTCGCTTTGGATAAAAGCGTCTAACAAGTGACATGTAATATAATGCTAATATATATATATAGTAAAATAAAGCCGTATTTACATTGAAATAAAATATGTGCAGTAAAAAAAAAAACAGATATTGTGTGCATTCATTTAATTACCATATATACTGTATGCACCAAATATAAAATAGTATTTCAACTGTTAAGCTTATTCTGTCAATAGTGGCTTTCAAACCTTACAATAAGCCACTTTTGAGCGGAGGTTAAAGACACGCAAAGAAAAAGTAACTGCCTTTGGTCTTAGTTGAAAAAGGATTTGGACTCTCCAACTGACACTGAAAATCGAGAGAACAAATCGCAACATTTTCTTAATTTGTGGCCGAAAAACTGTTCCTATCTCTGTCTCATCAGCTGTCAAACACATCTCTGTCCTCTTCTAACTTAAATTATATTTCGACATGCAGTTGAAGAGCTGACACGGCAAGGCACATATTAAACATTACTATTTAACCAATCACATATTCAACTTAATCTTAACTTTGATCTCTGAGCTCATTATGCCTCCAACACTCTCCATGAACCCCGCTGCAAAAACATTAACACTTTATCATTGATTTGGAAAAAATAAAGTCTGACAAACTTTGAATTTAGTAGAGGGACTTATGTCATTGTTAAGGACCAGGGTACGCAACAACTAGGAACGCAGGTAAAGGTTGAAAGATACGGATTGTATTTACCCAAAATATATATACAGTTTTTAGGATGGGTAACAAAATCAATTAGGATGAAAAAAAGGTGAATTATTTTGTATATAAGCAGATACAATCTAGAATGAATTATTAAACAAAAACTATCTAACTAAATACTGGCCAGTCCATTGTTGAGTGCAGGGGAGAGAAGACTCTAAAGATGGGTGGCTTAGATATAGCCTCTTTAAACACCCCTCAAGGTTTTAGGGGAATGGCACAGTCCAATTAGCCAGGCACATCTACAGGTGTATCCATGTACATTAGCATGCAGTGTATGAACCCTATAAAATGAGATAACTGGATAAAGTCAGACATATAAACGTTTGATACATGTTATGGTTTTTCCTACCAGAACTCCAGAAGGTCCGTCCTGTCCTCTGTTTCCAAAATTACCACGGAATCCCTGAAATTAGATTATGTGAGAAATTTGAACCAAATAATACAAAAATAGTATTACCAACTGTAGTGGAGAGTTAGAGATAACTCAGTGTTGGCACTAGTTTTGTGTCTATCACTAGGTTCACCCAGGTGTGTCGGCCAGAACACCACTTAAGGCCAAAGGTCCAGAATAGAGGAAATGAGGAGCTAAGATGAGGCTTGACTTGACTTTACGCACACAATAGGAAACTTAAGACGGCATAACTTTCCCTCTGATGTGTGACGTCACCCAAACCACGTGGGTTAGCCCCTCCCCACTATGACGGCACAACTTAACAGGTATCAACTCTGTATAATAAAATAATATATATATCAATAACTATAACTTTGGGGCCTTTTCTACAGCAACCAAGTATTTAAATACTGAACGAGGCTCGTGATTTAAATAGGGTTACTTGACATGTTAATTTTTATCTTATTAGTATAAAATAAAACAATATAATTTACCTTTAAGCCTTTAGGTCCAGTCACACCGGAGATGCCCAGCTTTCCCTACACACAAAGGTACACATTACAAAAAATTAACAATTATACTGGCAGCAATTTCAGAGATACACTGGACAAAATGCTGCTGCAAAAACAAGTAAATATATACTAAAAACAAGGTGTTTTCGCTTTTAACAAGTGAACAGATCTGCCAATAGAACAAGTACAAAATGGCTTGGTGAGATTTCTTGAAGTAAAGATGGGATGATTAGAAAAATGATAAAAGCTGGGAGAATTTATTTTGAACTATATTTGACCAGAATTAAGGAATTTGTTACAAAAAAAGCCAGAAATGCATCTTGTGTTGATAGTTGGAGATGTTCCTCTAAAATAAGATGTTTTTAAGAGACTTTGACTAAAAAGATGCCTCGTCTAGAAACAAGACTTAAGTTATTAAGTCTTAAATCAAGTGTCACGACATTAGACAAATATACTTGGCAAGATTTACATTTTTTGCAGTGTACAATCCTTTAATGAACATTATTTTGTTGGGCTCGACTGAAATGAAAGATTTATAAATGTGTAAGTAAAATAATTTATGAAAATGTTTGTCAGACGAATACTTGTGTTTTATTTCCCCCATATTTGTTCTTCCTGTGTTGAGAAATACCTTTGTTTATTCTTGTTAAGCCTTGATATGTCATGTGTGAATGCATAAAGGTGGCTCTGTTGGTTATGTTACTGTAAAAGTGTTTAACAATTTATGTCAAAGTAAATGTTGTAGACCTTAAAGGTCACCTATAGTGTTATTTGTAGGCAATAGCACAGCTCTCAGATCTATAACAATATATAAAAACATGTCTATGAAGTGTTTTGCTCAAAACACCAAACAGATCATTCTAGCCACGCCTCATATCCCTCTATTCCACTTCCTGTTTCTAAAGTGCTGATTTGGGTATAAAGCTTTAAAGAGGAGGGTCTGAGCTCATGCGGGACCCGGCAGCTACTGTCTAAACTAAATGCTGCCGTGATGAAACGCCATATCATGGATTATCAAGGATTCTCTCTGAAACAGTCTGGAGCTCAAAGGCTTTCTCTCTTGCCGGTTATACCACAAGGTGAGTTCCTTTTTACTTCCTGCTTCTTCACACACATGCTCTCCAGTACAGGTTAGCTCTGAGTGTTAGCGATGCTAATGTAAACACCGACCATATTACGTCCAAAACAGTCGGGCATTGTTTCTGATAGCAACGCTTCTGATTGGGCCGTGGGTCCACATTTCAGATATTACGTCATATCGGACGCAAATTTGGATCAGCTCCGTTGTTCCCCGTTTTTAGAGATTTGGGTACGGAGGAAAAGAGAGAGGGTTTTATTTCCTGACGCTGCGTGAGTTCCCCGACACACCGGGGACACATGTTGATGTAGAGAGACATCAAAAAGTGCATTTTGCATGATAGGTCCCCTTTAAATAAATAGTGTTAAGGTCATTAAAATTGACGTGAAGAGTCTACAATCTTTACATTTAGTTGTAAAGATATATTGACCAGCTTCAAATCCATGTTTAACTGTTAGTAAAGCTCTTAAAGTAGTGTAAAAGTGATCCGTAATAGAGATGATATGTTTGTGCAGGACACTGTAGTCTCATTAATACAGAATAATAAATGCAGCCGCATAGGAACCTTAATACCAGGCTCTCCTTCACGTCCTCCCTCTCCAGATTTTCCCATCTCTCCCTGCAACAGAAAACACAACCACAACACAATTTAGCACATAGCATGTTGCATTAGCAATTAGCTCAATGATTAGCATGTAAAATAAGCTTAATACCCTCTCATTCATACTCACAATGGGACCTGGGAATCCAGAAAATCCTTCTCGACCTTCCCGACCCTTTGGCAGAAAGAATATCACATAATAAAACTCTTTAATGTTTCATTTGAGGTATTCATATAAGTGAATTAATAATCCATCTTTGTCGCACCTTGTCGCCTCGGGGTCCAGACACTCCTTGAACACCGATTGGCCCTCGATCTCCCTACAAAAAAACATGTATAAATTCACACACATGCACACTTTCACACACATTTAACTTTGTAATGACAGAAAAAGTAATGATTCTTTCAACTTTTTGTGAAACCCACCTTCAGTCCGTCTTTCCCCTGCTTCCCCTGCTCTCCCATGATGCCTTCAAGGCCCTAAATGTTGTAGAAATACTCACTTAAATAAAGGTAATGATAAGAAAGCGGAGTAATACTCAAGCAAAGGACAGAATTACTTAAAGTTCAAGAAGTTAAGGTACTTATTCAGTGGCGATCCTAGAGTCTCCCCCCGAGAGCGGAGCAAGGTAACGAAACTTAAAATAAGAAGCAGCATTTTATGGCGCGCTATGCATGGGGCCCCCTTGAGGGGGTTTCCCGACATGTCGTTGCAGTAAATTAAAGTGTGTTTCATGTTGTCGTTGCTGTGGACCTTCTTAATCTACCTTCTTTGGGGGCCCCCTTCTGGTCCGGGGCCCCAAGCAGTTGCCTGCCTTGCCTGTTTGCAAGGTGCGCCCCTGAATTTATTCCACACAGCTGGCCCTTTTAGAACAATATATTTTGAATTATTGTATTATAGTTATTAATGCATTTGTTGTTCATCACTAATAATGCACTTGGTAAATGAGAAGCTTTTTTTTTACTGTAGTGCAAATGATAAGCTTGCCAATTTCACCAAGGGATTAATGTAAATATAATACATCTTTAAGATAAGATTAACCTTTTTTTTTTTTTTTATCTCTAAGGGTTATTTGAAGAAATGTGCGAATGCTGTGATTTACTCAGTTTGTATAAAATAAATACCTTTATACGGTTTTTAATGTTGATAACTGTGAGAGATTCAGGTGTTAAAGCAGCAACAGGAACAGATTGAAACAAAGCATAGGACAGGTAAGAGTTCACATAAATATAATACATATAAAAGTGTAAGTATCATGTGACACTACTTACATATATACAAATGTGAATCATTCTGAATATTATATATACGCTACATGTAGAGGAGTACAAATCACAATATGTTCCTCTGAGTTGTTGGGGTGCAAAAGTGTAAAGTTGCAGGAAGTAAGATAAGATAAGATGTACTTTATTAATAATTCATTTGGGATTAATAAAGTACATCTTATCTTAAGTAACTGAAAATGTACTGAACTTGAGTCAATGTGCTTAGTTTCTGTTCACCACTGCCTATTATCACACTCTCAATAGCATTGTTAGCTAACATTGTCTTCACTCGTCTCGTTTATTTCACTCACAGGAGACCCAGAAAGTCCCGGTGGCCCCGGAGGTCCTCCAACTCCCTCGAGATCTGAGGGGCCTCGGCGCCCCTTTAGTCCTCGTTTACCTGGAGGCCCTGGAGGTCCCTGAACGCACCACAACACACTGAGTCACAACCAGAGAGGGTACAAGTACACACATCCTTTACTCAAGTAGAAGTACAGATACTCGTGTTTAAAAATACTCTGGTGAAAGTAGAAGTACTGACTAAACTTCTTTACTCAAGTGAAAGTAAAGAGGCTTTGAAATGTACTTCAGTAAAAAGTACCCATAACTAGCAGCTGCTTTAAAGAGTACCTGACCTCCCTTTATATTAATAGAACAATAATGTCATTGTTAGCTAATGAATGTTTCCATGCTGAACAACGGCAACATGACAACGTTTCCATTGGTCCCTCTTCTTTAGAGAAGACCAGGAAATGATGGATACACGGATCGTGTTCAAATCAATAGGCACGCAATGACTCTAAAGAATAATGATCACGCATCAAACACACATTCAGACTAAAGGAACCAGCTGTTTGGAAAATGAGAGAAGTAGAAAGTACAAGTATTTGAGTTCAACATGTAAGAAGTAGAAAGTACAGGTATTTGAGTTCAACATGTGAGAAGTAGAAAGTACAGGTATTTGTGTTCAACATGTAAGAAGTAGAAAGTACAGGTATTTGGGTTCAACATGTAAGAAGTAGAAAGTACAGGTATTTGGGTTCAAAATGTAAGAAGTAGAAAGTACAGGTATTTGTGTTCAACATGTAAGAAGTAGAAAGTACAGGTATTTGAGTTCAACATGTAAGAAGTAGAAAGTACAGGTATTTGTGTTCAACATGTAAGAAGTAGAATGTACAGGTATTTGAGTTCAACATGTAAGAAGTAGAAAGTACAGGTATTTGGGTTCAACATGTAAGAAGTAGAATGTACAGGTATTTGGGTTCAACATGTAAGAAGTAGAAAGTACAGGTATTTGGGTTCAACATGTAAGAAGTAGAAAGTACAGGTATTTGAGTTCAACATGTAAGAAGTAGAAAGTACAGGTATTTGAGTTCAAAATGTAAGAAGTAGAAAGTACAGGTATTTGAGTTCAACATGTAAGAAGTAGAAAGTACAGGTATTTGTGTTCAACATGTGAGAAGTAGAAAGTACAGGTATTTGAGTTCAACATGTAAGAAGTAGAAAGTACAGGTATTTGGGTTCAAAATGTAAGAAGTAGAAAGTACAGGTATTTGAGTTCAACATGTAAGAAGTAGAAAGTACAGGTATTTGAGTTCAACATGTAAGAAGTAGAAAGTACAGGTATTTGAGTTCAACATGTAAGAAGTAGAAAGTACAGGTATTTGTGTTCAACATGTAAGAAGTAGAAAGTACAGGTATTTGAGTTCAACATGTGAGAAGTAGAAAGTACAGGTATTTGTGTTCAACATGTAAGAAGTAGAAAGTACAGGTATTTGAGTTCAACATGTAAGAAGTAGAAAGTACAGGTATTTGAGTTCAACATGTAAGAAGTAGAAAGTACAGGTATTTGAGTTCAACATGTAAGAAGTAGAAAGTACAGGTATTTGTGTTCAAAATGTAAGAAGTAGAAAGTACAGGTATTTGTGTTCAACATGTAAGAAGTAGAAAGTACAGGTATTTGGGTTCAACATGTAAGAAGTAGAAAGTACAGGTATGTGAGTTCAACATGTAAGAAGTAGAAAGTACAGGTACTGATCCCAGAACAATTTACTTAAGTACAGTAACAAAGTATTTGTACTCCACTACTTCCTCTGGTCAGAACAAATTAAGGATTAAAGTGTTTAAAAAGAACCTGCAAATAAAGACAGGAGGGATTTAACTCACCGGGTCTCCATTAAAACCCCGATCACCTCTGTAACCTCGCTTTGCTTTAGTGCCCTGGTAGAGAAAAACACACACACACACACACACACACACACACACACACACACACACACACACACACACACACACACACACACACACACACACACACACACACACACACACACACACACACACACACACACACACACACACACACACACACACAGTAAAGCTTGATAAGGTGAGATTAAATCTTTTCATACATTATTATTGAAGTAAAGAAATTGCTTTAAGTAATCTTACGGGATCACCTGAGGGTCCAGACCTTCCTGGATTCCCATTGGCTCCCTGGAATGAAAAGAAAGAATAACATCTGAGTTAATCTTTTATTATGGCTTGTTGGTTTCTGGACAGGATTGTTTTTTGGCAATAAAGGAATTCAATGCATCTCCTCTAGTATTGACATTTTAAATGTTGTTATCAATCTTATCTTTTCTTATTCTATTTAGTTGACTTCTCCTGCATTTACTTGCACTTGGTCACTCGCATCATTCTCCTGAACTATTTTATTTATATTTTTACCAGAACACTAATACTGCTATTTATTTAATCTTTTACTTTACTATGTGCCCCTTTTGTTTGTTTGTTTGTTCACCATGTAAAGCGGCTTTGGGTCCCTTGAAAGGTGCTTTACAAATTGTATCTATTATTATTATTTCTGTTTCTTCTTGCCGTATTTTTGTGTTGTCTTATATATATATATATTTCCGTTTCACTTTTGGAGGAGCCTGGTACTTCAGCTTTTATAAAACTACCCTGTAGATATATTGAAGATATTGTAAAATGGAGCAACTTTAACAAAATCCATTTCCCCTCATGGATAAATTGAGCATTTCTGATTCTGATTAATACTTTTTGTAGATGTTGTTGTCTTACATAAAGTCCAGGTGGTCCAGGTTCTCCGATGTCTCCTTCATCTCCTGTATCTCCCTGAAGAGAAACACACAAGTAGTTAGTATATTTAAAGGCATTTGTAGGCAACAGCATAGGTCTCAGATATATACAAATATATAAAAACATGTCTATGAAGTGTTTTGCTCCAAACACCAAACAGATCATTCTAGCCATGCCTCATATCCCTCTATTTCACTTCCTGTTTCTAAAGTGCTGTTTGGGTATAAAGCTTTAAAGAGGAGGGGTCTGAGCTCATGCGGGACCCGGCAGCTACCGTCTAAACTAAATGCTGCCGTGATGAAACTCCATATCATGGATTATCAAGGATTCTCTCTGAAACAGTCTGGAGCTCAAAGGCTTTCTCTCTTGCCGGTTATACCACAAGGTGAGTTCCTTTTTACTTCCTGCTTCTTCACACACATGCTCTCCAGTACAGGTTAGCTCTGAGTGTTAGCGATGCTAATGTAAACACCGACCATATTACGTCCAAAACAGTCGGGCATTGTTTCTGATAGCAACGTTTCTGATTGGGCCGTGGGTCCACATTTCAGATATTACGTCATATCGGACGCAAATCTGGATCAGCTCCGTTGTTCCCCGTTTTTAGAGATTTGGGTACGGAGGAAAAGACAGGGTTTTATTTGTGTATAAAAGACATAAACAAGTGCATTTAGCATGATAGGTCCCCTTTAAATCAAATCGAAATGTATTATAGCCCCAAATCACAAGAAATACCTCAAAGGGCTGTACAAAGCAAAGACAAAACCAAAATACTAACGTCCTAGCATATAAACTATAAAAACATTATACAACAACATGAGTATTGCCATGTGATCAAAGCATGCGACTGAAGTAATGCTCATGGAGATGGAAAGTAGGTGATGGAAATGAGTTGACAGGGAAGACAGATGTGAAGAGATGGTTGAATATTTAGTATTCAAACATGTATTAAATGCAACGTCTGGATCCTGCTCACCCTGTTGTTGTTGTTTCATGAATCACATTATCATTAAGATAAAGAGTACTCACAGCGTCTCCTTTGGGACCAGGAGGGCCGTCTGGTCCTGGTTTTCCCTTTGGAGAAACATATCAATCACATTGTCTCTTTAAAACATTTTGCCTCATAAGACAAAGAAATATGATGTGTGCATGTAAAGAGCATTCCTTTGATCTCAGAAATACATTGAGAGGGATTTCCTTTACTATTTAGACAAGTAAAGAAAATCCTCGGCAACAAAACACACACAAAAAGAACTTAGATGAAAATGGTGATTAAAGCAGAACACCATTTGTAGAATATTAAACCAATAAGAATAAATAAACCAAACCACTCTAAAACCAAGTGAAAGAGGATGATATTTCAAACGTGTGAGACCCAAAACATAGAAACAAGGGAATGTTTAGTTTTTAATGATATTCGAGTTTGCAGGTGTACGATGAGGCTTATTTCTACACTCAGTAAAAACAGTTGATGTAATCCAGAGTATCGTGCTAAAACACTGCTCCTTATATTCCTATCAAACAGGAATGTGCATGAAAGTAAACACAGTATTTGTCACAATTATTAAAAAATAGGAGTACTATTCTTCTCCTTAAGAAAGTCACTTTTAATTGTCTTCCTTCGGTTCTTGTTTATGGCCGCCACATCACACAAAGTAATATATTGAATTGTAAATTGGTTTCCATAACGCAAACTAACTTACACTAACACACAGATTCTGTTTCTGCCACAAAATAAACTGATAAAAGAGTTACAACAGGAAGACTGGGTATACGTTCATTCACTCCGCAGCTGCATTAACCAGCTCATTATGGGCGTCCTCTTTTAACCAATCACATGTCACCTCAACCTCCAGCAGCCAATCATCGTACTGCAGTCGAACTTTAAAATGGTTCTCCTGCAGTCAGCTGTGATTTCAGGCCTTTAAGATCTTAAAGGCCCCCTGTTATCCTGTTCTTCATCAATATCTCACAGGGCTCAGATATATCCAGAGCCTGTCTCTGATTGGCTGAAACACCAGACAGATCATGTCAGCATTACCCATAATCCCCTCTGTTTCAGCCCTTTTTCCAAAGTGCTGATTCTCTGTCTGTTACTTCAGATGAAAATAAGGAGCCCCTCCCCACGCCCCTCTGAGAGAGATTTGGTTACAAAGAACTCAATGTGCTCTAGGAGGAGATTCAGGTGATAAGGGGGGGGGGGGGTTACCTTGGTTGCTGATTGGCTAATGGTTACACAAGACAACACATCGTTATGACATCATCAAGTGGCCAAAATCTGATCAGCTCATTTTCAGACAGGTTTTTATAGAAATGGATCAAAAAGAGAGAGAATCTTTGTTCCTGAAACTTTCAGAGTCTCTTTCCACAGAGGGGACACATGTTGATGTAGAAGAGACATGAAGAAGAGGGGACAACATGTTGATGTAGAAGAGACATGAAGAAGAGGGGACACATGTTGATTGTAGAAGAGACATGAAGAAGAGGGGACCACATGTTGATGTAGAAGAGACATGAAGAAGAGGGGACACATGTTGATGTAGAAGAGACATGAAGAAGAGGGGACACATGTTGATGTAGAAGAGACATGAAGAAGAGGGGACACATGTTGATGAAGAAGAGACATGAAGAAGAGGGGACACATGTTGATGTAGGAGAGACATGAAGAAGAGGGGACACATGTTGATGTAGAAGAGACATGAAGAAGAAGAGGGGACACATGTTGATGTAGAAGAGACATGAAGAAGAGGGGACACATGTTGATGTAGAAGAGACATGAAGAAGAGGGGACACATGTTGATGTAGAAGAGACATGAAGAAGAGGGGACACATGTTGATGTAGATGAGACATGAAGAAGAGGGGACACATGTTGATGTAGAAGAGACATGAAGAAGAGGGGACACATGTTGATGTAGAAGAGACATGAAGAAGAGGGGACACATGTTGATGTAGAAGAGACATGAAGAAGAGGGGACACATTGTTGATGTAGAAGAGACATGAAGAAGAGGGGACACATGTTGATGAAGAAGAGACATGAAGAAGAGGGGACACATGTTGATGTAGGAGAGACATGAAGAAGAGGGGACACATGTTGATGTAGAAGAGACATGAAGAAGAGGGGACACATGTTGATGTAGAAGAGACATGAAGAAGAAGAGGGGACACATGTGATGTAGAAGAGACATGAAGAAGAGGGGACACATGTTGATGTAGGAGAGACATGAAGAAGAGGGGACACATGTTGATGTAGAAGAGACATGAAGAAGAGGGGACACATGTTGATGTAGAAGAGACATGAAGAAGAGGGGGACACATGTTGATGTAGAAGAGACATGAAGAAGAAGAGGGGACACATGTTGATGTAGAAGAGACATGAAGAAGAGGGGACACATGTTGATGTAGAAGAGACATGAAGAAGAGGGGACACATGTTGATGTAGAAGAGACATGAAGAAGAGGGGACACATGTTGATGTAGAAGAGACATGAAGAAGAGGGGACACATGTTGATGTAGAAGAGACATGAAGAAGAAGGGACACATGTTGATGAAGAAGAGACATGAAGAAGAGGGGACACATGTTGATGTAGAAGAGACATGAAGAAGAGGGGACACATGTTGATGTAGAAGAGACATGAAGAAGAGGGGACACATGTTGATGTAGAAGAGACATGAAGAAAGGGGACACATGTTGATGTAGAAGAGACATGAAGAAGAGGGGACACATGTTGATGAAGAAGAGACATGAAGAAGAGGGGACACATGTTGATGTAGAAGAGACATGAAGAAGAGGGGACACATGTTGATGTAGGAGAGACATGAAGAAGAGGGGACACATGTTGATGTAGAAGAGACATGAAGAAGAGGGGACACATGTTGATGTAGAAGAGACATGAAGAAGAGGGGACACATGATGATGTAGAAGAGACGTGGAAAAGGGGATTTTGCAGAATAGGCGACCTTTAAGATATACGATATCAGGATCGGGGTCTAATCGCCAAAGACTATTTCAATTTCTATCATATGGCCACGTGTCGATAAATGTTCTTAAACAAAGAAATGAAGTCTCTCCTGATTGAAATGCTTTGGTATTAATGTAGAATAAAACACTTCAGTCTTTTATACCTGAGGGCCACGGACGCTGGGAGGCCCGACCGCTCCATCAGGACCAGACTCTCCCTGAAACACAGCATAAGCACACATCCAGCTCACACATTTATTCAGGTAAGTTAACGTCATTATTCAGTCTCTGTGGATACATAAAAACAGGTTTGAAATCATTCCAATGTTTACATACAGTATGCTAAATACTGGTAATATTTACTTTAATTATGTCTTTGTTTCCTGTAGATATTTAATTGCTCTTTTTACGGCTCTGTTACGGTACGTCCACACAGCAGCTTTAGACGAATCTTCCACCGCTTCCAACGCTTCTCTGCACATTGACTTTGAATGGGGATGACGTCACTTTGCCTCGCTTTTCGCCAAACTGCATTGTGGGGGAGCGAAGCGAAGATTTCCAGGATTTCCAGGATTCAAAAGTTGAGCAATGTTCAACTTTTGAAGCTGAGCTGGAAGCGTCAGCCAATCAAATCACGTTTATGCAAATCTGACAGTAGAAGCGCTAGTCAATCAAACCGCGTGTAAGCAGGGAGAGCCAGCCCGCAGTTCATTTCCTCATATTCCAAACGAGAAATTACAGTAGCAAATCACCCGGTTCTTTACGACCAGAACTATTAACGGGATACAAACCGGAGGGACCAGGCATGGAGGGAGGTGGCAGAGACAGTGGGGGAAACTGGTAGGTTTTCACCTGTTTGGGGAGTTTATATATATATATTTATATATATTGCTCGCATAAAATCCCCGGGGTTTTTTGCTTTGTATGTCGGGGGCGGGAGATTCATGTGATTGGTTGTTGGTCGCGTTGCTCGCAAAAAATCCCCAAGCTTTCAGACACGCCCAGCTCCAAGATTTTCAAGATTTTTGAAAAACTGCTGTGTGGACGTACCGTTAGTGTACAGTTTTACTATTGTGCTGCTGTGTTTATTGTATTTGTGTTACTCTGGCACAACAATTTCCTTCGGGATAAGTAAAGTCTTCTCTTATCTTATAGGACAGTAAACCAAAAATATAGTTTAAAATTAGATTAATTAGAAAAATATGCATAAATAAATGTTAACCAGGTAAAATAAGATATGAATGAACAACAACAAAATAAGTTAAATGTATTTGTTATTGGCTATGGTAGGTTATTGGTTATATTCACATATTTGTATGTGTCAAAGAATATTTCTGTCTTTACTCCTAGATATTTAACCTTTTCTGTGTGTTGACATTTACGATCAACCCTGGCTCTGTTATCTCTCTTAAGGAATGGGAGGCTCCAGCTATCTTGATAAACCAGTTCAACTCTCGGTCACAAAATGGTTTACGGCTGTGGGAACACTGGCTTTGAGGCCATTAAGGGTCAGACGCAAGTGATTCAGTGGGCCCAGCTGTTTAGTCTATCTCCCCAAATATGTTGTTTACTCTCGCTGAACTAGTTAAAAGGTCTATCCAGAGATAGGCACGGCAGAATTGACATGGCAACCCACCCGTGCAGTCAGAACCTTTTGCTGATGTGACTTGTGATATGAATTCTCCGGCCGTATCCTTGTAATAAACTATCATTGTTTGACATCAAAGCTCCAACTCTCCTCGTGTCTCTCTGAGTCCTGACTCTCCATTGCTGCAGAAGTTTCCCTTACAGTATGATTATTGAAATGTATACAGATCTTTTTCATATGGAGCTCAAAGTGCACCAGATTGAAGCATTTTACTTTAAAATGTTTAAAAATGTCATTTGAAGCCTTTTTATGTACTGTATATAACCTGTCTATAAGTTTCTGTTTTTTAAGTGTATTGGTCTATTGTAGAGTGTTGGTGTGTTTTGTCACCTTAGGTCCAGCTGCTCCTCTGGGACCCAGATCACCCTGATGACCCTACAACACATTTATCAGTTAAACAGGTTTTATTTTAATATCCATTTATGAGTCGATTTGGATTTATCAGCTACTCACCGGAGGTCCTTTGAAGCCCAACATGCCTTTTATTCCTCTGGGACCCATTTGTCCCTGAGCAGATGGATAAATGCACTTCAATGGCACGTCAATATTAAATCCACCATCATTATTCTTTCATTTTAATGCAGATATTGTAGAAGTATAACAAACGTACAGGTGGGCCAGGTGGTCCCCCAAAGCCTTGAGCTCCGATCCCTCCCTGGAAATGAAATAACCATAAAAAAGTCAAATAAAAGCAATATTCTTTCAGTCACAGTTGCTCACAAATACTGAAACATACAACACAATCAAAAGTCAACTTCATATGTCTAATTACGCTTTCTTTATACATGTTCTTAAACATAGAAATGTTCTTACAGCCCTTTAAATCATTCGGCAAAGAATTCCACTTCTTTACGCCAAGAGACACTCATCTGCTTTAAAGTGGTACGTGCAAACTGACGCTTAACATGTAATTTCCTCCTATGATGCTCATCCTCTGAAATTAAAACACATGTGTTTATTTCCTGGCAGTATTCTGTGTTTTGCTTTATGCATAACTAAAGGCGTCTGTAATTCTATGAAATCTTTAAATGTTAACGGCCTTGACTCAATAGCTGCATCTCACTTCGGTTAAATGGATTCCTTGCTTCCCTCACTTGCGTCCTTTCCCTGCGTCTAGTCCCTCCCACCAGGGAAGCATGGAGAGACGCAAGGAAACCACGAGAAGCAGGGAAATGAGTTTTAAGAGCAATGGGACGTCCTTTCCTCCGGAGCGTCACGTGAAGCGACGTCCGTTTGTGATGACGCCGCACAGCTGATCGCTTGACAGCAGCCAGATCAGTGCATGCGCCGCATCGTCCAATCAGTGAGCAATACACAGTAAGGGGGCGGGGCGAGTGTCTGAAGATTTCACCGGAGGATGGTCTGGTGGTTCCTCGATTATCGCTCCTCCGTTATCGCTCCTCCGGCACAAATAAGGCCACTGGGACGGTACTCAAGATGGCGCAGACAAATCAACTTCCGGTGAGACCGAGGAGCGAGGAGCGAGGAAATGAAAAATAACCGAAGTGAGACGCATCCATAATGATAAAAGCCTCAAAGGTCTGCTGATTACAGGTGTTGTATGAGGATGTTAATGACTGGTTTTTATACAGATATGTCTGACTGACACTGACCGTAACTCCTGATGGTCCCAGAAATCCAGCAGGACCCCTGGCTCCGGGAATACCCTGAACACAAGAAATATAGATATTGAAGGTAAACAATCAAAGTCAAAGTCAACTTTATTGTCAATCTTCCAGTTTGTGTGTAGACAGAGAGATCGAAATACCGTTTCCAACAATCCCGAATACAAAAATACAAATATGTACTTCCTATATATATATATATATATATATATATATATATATATATATATACACAATCAATATATACAAAATAACAGTTACTTCAATATCTTTGGGAAATGTACATTAGTGAAGTGACTGTTATTTTGTATATATTGATTGTTGTGCTTTTATCTTAATGTGTGCATGTGTATAAATGTGTCTGTTGATTGTGTATATATAGGATATACATATTTTTATATATATTTGTAATTTTGTATTCGGGATTGGGGAAACGATACAACACGATGACAATAAAGTTGACTTGAAAATGTGGTGACATGCACAGAAAAGTTATGATTTTCAGTACTGCTGTATTTGGATTTGTCGTGTATATTAAAATAGTTATTTCCATTGACGGAGGCGTGACAGTTGTTGTGATTATATTGTAGAGTAATCCATACTTACGATGTAACCAGGGATACCGATGATGCCTCTGACTCCTTTATTTCCCTGATGGCGACAAAAAGAGGAACAATCAGAATCACATATTCAGCTGATGCAGCCTCGCCCTTTTTTACCACTCCTGGTTTTAATTCAAACTGTTCTGGTTTAGCACTAGCAGCATTGTAAACAATACATTTGAATTGGGATCATTCACAGCTACAGTACACTGTGCTTATCGAATGGATTTACAGCATCCATCCTCTGTGAGCAGGATGACATATGAGAATTGCAAAAAATGTCATATGTGGACATTTTTAATATCTCTGCAGTGTCAAGTGTTTTCCTTCAAAAGAAACTGGACAGGTTTTGGGAGATCTGGAAAAACCTTTTATGACTTCCTGGAGCATAATGGTCTACAACATGATTGGGAGAATGAAGACATTATTTGGGCTGTGTTTCTGTTTCTGTTTTCTTTTCTTCTTTCTTTCTTTTCCTGTTTTGTTTTGCTGATAGTATGTAAAGTCTGTCTTGTTTATTAAGTGTCATTTCTGTGCATAAAAACTAATAAAGAGATGTTTGAAAAAAACAAAACCTCTGCAGTGTCTAGTGGTGTAGATGGCTCTGCTATTGTGTGTGTGTGTGTGTGTGTGTGTGTGTGTGTGTGTGTGTGTGTGTGTGTGTGTGTGTGTGTGTGTGTGTGTGTGTGTGTGTGTGTGTGTGTGTGTGTGTGTGTGGCCTCCAACATTACTATCCTTGTGGGCACAGTAAGTGAACACACCTGTGAGTGTGAGCAGAGTGTGTGTGTGTGTGTGTATGTGTACCTGTGTGTGAAGCAGACAGTAGTGTGTGAACAGACAGTAGTGTGTGTGTACCTGTGTGTAAGTGTACGTGTACCTGTGTGTGTGAGGCAGACAATAGTGTGTGTGTGTGTGTGTGTGTGTGTGTGTGTGGCCTAGCATTACTATCCTTGTGGGGACCTAAATCTGTTTACACAGTCACGTGTGGGGACTCGCCTCCCTTATGGGGACAAAATGGAGGTCCCCATAAGGGGACATTTTAGGGTGAAGACTTGGTTAGGTTTAGGATTAGGGTTAGGGTTAGGCATGTGTTGGTTATGGTTAATGTTAGGATAAGTCTTGCATGTAAGTCAATGTAATGTCCCCTGAAGTGATGTATACATGGTATGTGTGTGTGTGTGTGTGTTAGCATTTCACCTTGTCTCCTTTACGTTCTCTGTGTCCCTGTGGTCCAGCCTCCCCATGATAACCCTACAGACAGAGAAACACAAGCTTAACTAACAACAATAAATAAAATGCTCCAGTTCAACGACGTACAGTAGTTCACAAAATAGTATATTAGCCAACACTTCTGTAACCCCCAGTGAATATTGATATAGTGGTCACCGGCAGGAATGAGAAGGTAATTGGCTAGCTAAGCTAATAGAGTCAGACATACAGTATTTATAAACTATATATATGTATAAATATATAATTATCTCCATCCTCATAGCATTAGAAATCCACTCTTACCCACTCACCCAGCTCCCCTTTGCTGCCCCTCTCTCCTCTGTAGCCCTGGGGACCCTATAGGGACGAGTAGAAAAGTGGATTTATAGCACGACTGCACTGATGAGTACAGATGATAATTGTGAAAACACATATTTTACATGTCTGTTGGGAAAATACTGAATGTCCTCCTCCAACATGAGAGTAACATGATAACAAAGGTATCCCAACTGTAGCTGTGAACATGACAGGATGTGTGATTACCTAGAAGAGCATCAGGACTGTTTGAGGCATATGATTTCTGTTAGGGATTAATTTTGTCTTACTCCTAGGAGTCTAACCTTTTCTGTGTGTTGACGTTTACGACCAACCCTAAGTCTGTTATCTGTCTTAAGGAATGGGAAGTCTCAGCTATTGTTGACATTACCAGTTTTATGACCGGTCAACTCTCGGTCACAGAGCCTAAGAGTCAGATAAGTGATTCAGTGTCTCCAGGTGTTAACGCCCCAATATGTTGTTTACTCTCTGTAAACTAGTTAAAGGGTCTATCCAGAGATAGGCTGGGAAGAATTGACATGGCAACCCACCCGGGCAGTCAGAACCTTTGGCTGCTGTGACTTGTGATATGAATTCTCCGGCCGTATCGTTGTAATAAACATCATTGTTTGACATCAAAGCTCCAACTCTCCTTGTGTCTCTCTGAGTCCTGACTCTCCATTGCTGCAGAAGTTTCCCTTACAATAGCTATGTGATTAACATGATGATTCAGCCTCTATGGAGAGAGACATCAAGCATGCTCATTTCTGACGTGGAGCTCATCTGAAGTAAACATTGAATACTGCTTTCTATTCCTCCATCTTGTGACTGTGTAACTCCCTCTCTTGGATATCAGCATGTGAAGGACACTGTTCAGGAACTAGTTGATGCTCTGTATGTGATGACTCCTTCCATTCTGCAGAGGATCACAGATACATGGATCCTGATGTTGAAGCTCAAGCCGGGGACCAGGGAGATGTTTTCACCAATGTCTTTACCTGTTCTCCAGGTGGGCCTGGATGTCCCGGGGCAGAAGGGTTTCCTGAGGTCCCTTCTCTTCCAGGTCGGCCCTGAGGATCAGGGACCCCCTGTGGTCCAGGACTGCCCTGAAGAACAACTCAACATGTGATCAAGACTCTTGGTTTCAAATATCTTTCTGACTCAGCAGACCATAATAACCTGAGAGGCTGTCCAACAGCATCCTCTGGGACCCAAAGCATGCTCTGAACAGAGAATCTGAACTGCTACCATCTAATGGAGATTCACTAAAGTCAGCCTGAAGCATCCTCTGTGCTCCAGTCTGACCTCTCAGTAAACACAGAGCTGAGTCCAGATCAGATGCTCGCTGAAGGCTCTTTGAGCATCTCTCACTGATCCTGCTGTTATGTTCAATGTTTGTTGTTTGTTTTCCATGTCTTGTGTCTTGATATTTGTTTGTTGATATTACAAATGGAGCTGCTGTGATGCCAGGAGCATTTCAGACTGGATCTGACCATTAAAGTATTATCGTACTGTATCGTAACCCCAACCCCAGATATTTGATGATATATTTTCTTGTTTATATCACACATTATTAATGACGCAGTTCATTGAATTTCGCTTGTTTCCTGATCTGATCCATGGATGTGTTGTTGATACCTGTGTCAAGGAGGTTTTTGTTTGGTTTAATTGGTTTTATGTCAGAGTGAATAAAGGAAGATTCGCTTGCCTGATGTTCATCTAACTTGATAAACCGTGTAGCATGGGCTGAGAGAGAAACCATTACATTTCAAAACTGATCTTCCTTCAATGGAGTTGCTAAAAGTCGACAGATGATTGATGATTTGGGTACAAGGAGAGATACTGCATGCTGTATATTGGTTGGACTATCTCTCTTACTGGAACTGTTTAATGTACACACACATTCACACACGATGGACTTACTGGCTTTGTTGAAGAGTTTGGAGTTAACCAGGTTTAAATGAGATATATTGCTTTGTTTAAAAGGGCTCATGTGATAAATGTACACATGTACTCTTTGTAGGGTTTGCCCAGACTCAGACTCATCTATTCGTCAGGTCCGACATCAGGAAATAAGTCACAATGTAATATATATTTGTAGATATTTCTTGCTTTTTCCACTCATAGCGCTAAATACATTCTGAGGGAAAAGGAAAGCAATCCCGCTGCGTCAGAGGAGCCAGCAATACAACTGGAAAATGTAAGAGGAGATAGTCGAGGAAATTGTTTAATCTCACAAGGCCTCGCTGTAGATAAGATGCGAATAATGTAGAGATACCTACGATTTTCCCTTCAACTCCTTTTCGTCCTTGCTTCCCGTCACTTCCAGGCCGCCCCTGCAAACAAAACGAGCAACCGGAGTGCTTTTACAATATCCTGTTTGGTTTGTTGCTTAGTATTATCATGATAGCCTTTTGCCTTTCAAGAAATCAATAACACTTATACTTACAATTGGTCCTTCATGTCCAAGAGGTCCAGGAGGCCCCGGAGGCCCCTTACGTTTCTGCAAATGCATATTTTATTATTGAATTAGGATGTATTAACTCTGTAAATAAGGTTATATTATTTTCTGTGGGGAAGAAGGGAAGTGCATTCATGTTTTTTAAACAAACACTTACCGGCCAGGAGGAGACCAGCTTTTTGTAGATCTTCTCTTTCTGTAAGGACATGAAATGTCATTAATGTCGTAGAGCCTTTATCTGTTTGTGATTTGATTAATTTGTGGTATATTGAATTATTTACAATGTAATATATATTAGGTGACATGTGAAATATACAAGTATGTGTGTTACAATATTACTGATGTATATGCAGGGCCGTCCCTGGCCAACTTGATGCCCCAAGCGACATTGTGAGATGATGCCCCCCCCCCTCCAACCGACAGGAGTGAAAAAAAATATATAATATAATAATATAATATAATTCCTTTTTATTATTATTATCAACACAGTTACTTTTTTATAAAGTGCGGTAAATGGTAAATAAATCAGAGAACTGCGCACAAGCCAAGCTCATAAGCCGAGGAACCCATGATCGGCCTGTAGGGAGGGACGGCCCTGTGTATATGCTAGTATAATACTACAACTACTACTATAATAGTAGGCCTACTATGAAACCGATATTTTGTGAAGGCTCAATATACAACAACACAAACACCGTCAATATTAATTTGAAAACCAGCGAAACAGGCAAAGCACTGTGTATGTTTAATTTATTTGAATTACATTATATTGGCATAATACTACTTAATTGAACAGATCCCAGTTCAATCACCAAAGATCGATGGGTTACTGGATCAGAGATGTATCAGCTGTTTACCTTAAAATCCTCCCACTCTTCTTCAGAGTTTTTAAAAACAACAATGGCCGGCATCCCAGGAGGACCAATGGGACCCTGATTTCCTGTCCGCCCGGTCCTGCCCATAACGCCTGAATAACCCTGAGAGGACAGAAAACAAAGAGATTATTTTAATATGGAAGCAGAGGTGGGAAGTAGTGGAGTACAATTACTTTGTTACTATACTTAAGTACATGTCACTGGTATCAGTACTTTACTCCACTAATTATTTTTCTGATGACTTTTTACTTTGACTTCTTACATGTTGAACACAAATACCTGTACTTTCTACTTCTTACATGTTGAACACAAATACCTGTACTTTCTACTTCTTACATGTTGAACACAAATACCTGTATTTTCTACTTCTTACATGTTGAACACAAATACCTGTACTTTCTACTTCTTACATGTTGAACCCAAATACCTGTACTTTCTACTTCTTACATGTTGAACACAAATACCTGTACTTTCTACTTCTTATATGTTGAACTCAAATACCTGTACTTTCTACTTCTTATATGTTGAACTCAAATACCTGTACTTTCTACTTCTTACATGTTGAACCCAAATACCTGTACTTTCTACTTCTTACATGTTGAACACAAATACCTGTACTTTCTACTTCTCACATGTTGAACACAAATACCTGTACTTTCTACTTCTCACATGTTGAACCCAAATACCTGTACTTTCTACTTCTTACATGTTGAACCCAAATATCTGTACTTTCTACTTCTTACAGTTTGAACACAAATACCTGTACTTTCTACTTCTTACATGTTGTACTCAAATACCTGTACTTTCTACTTCTTACATGTTGAACCCAAATATCTGTACTTTCTACTTCTTACATGTTGAACACAAATACCTGTACTTTCTACTTCTTACATGTTGAACACAAATACCTGTACTTTCTACTTCTTACATGTTGAACACAAATACCTGTACTTTCTACTTCTTACATGTTGAACACAAATACCTGTACTTTCTACTTCTTACATGTTGAACTCAAATACCTGTACTTTCTACTTCTTACATGTTGAACTCAAATACCTGTACTTTCTACTTCTTACATGTTGAACCCAAATATCTGTACTTTCTACTTCTTACAGTTTGAACACAAACACCTGTACTTTCTACTTCTTACATGTTGAACTCAAATACCTGTACTTTCTACTTCTTACATGTTGAACACAAATACCTGTACTTTCTATTTCTTACATGTTGAACACAAATACCTGTACTTTCTACTTCTCACATGTTGAACACAAATACCTGTACTTTCTACTTCTTACATGTTGAACACAAATACCTGTACTTTCTACTTATTACAGTTTGAACACAAACACCTGTACTTTCTACTTCTTACATGTTGAACTCAAATACCTGTACTTTCTACTTCTTACATGTTGAACACAAATACCTGTACTTTCTACTTCTTACATGTTGAACACAAATACCTGTACTTTCTATTTCTTACATGTTGAACACAAATACCTGTACTTTCTACTTCTTACATGTTGAACACAAATACCTGTACTTTCTACTTCTCACATGTTGAACACAAATACCTGTACTTTCTACTTCTTACATGTTGAACACAAACACCTGTACTTTCTACTTCTTACATGTTGAACTCAAATACCTGTACTTTCTACTTCTTACATGTTGAACTCAAATACCTGTACTTTCTACTTCTTACATGTTGAACACATATACCTGTACTTTCTATTTCTTACATGTTGAACACAAATACCTGTACTTTCTACTTCTTACATGTTGAACACAAATACCTGTACTTTCTACTTCTCACATGTTGAACACAAATACCTGTACTTTCTACTTCTTACATGTTGAACACAAATACCTGTACTTTCTACTTCTTACAGTTTGAACACAAACACCTGTACTTTCTACTTCTTACATGTTGAACTCAAATACCTGTACTTTCTACTTCTTACATGTTGAACACAAATACCTGTACTTTCTACTTCTTACATGTTGAACACAAATACCTGTACTTTCTACTTCTCACATGTTGAACACAAATACCTGTACTTTCTACTTCTCTAATGTTGAACACAAATACCTGTACTTTCTACTTCTTACATGTTGAACACAAATACCTGTACTTTCTACTTCTCACATGTTGAACACAAATACCTGTACTTTCTACTTCTTACAGTTTGAACACAAACACCTGTACTTTCTACTTCTTACATGTTGAACCCAAATATCTGTACTTTCTACTTCTTACATGTTGAACACAAATACCTGTACTTTCTAGTTCTTACATGTTGAACCCAAATATCTGTACTTTCTACTTCTTACATGTTGAACACAAATACCTGTACTTTCTACTTCTCACATGTTGAACACAAATACCTGTACTTTCTACTTCTTACATGTTGAACACAAATACCTGTACTTTCTACTTCTTACATGTTGAACACAAATACCTGTACTTTCTACTTCTCTCATGTTGAACCCAAATATCTGTACTTTCTACTTCTCACATGTTGAACACAAATACCTGTACTTTCTACTTCTTACATGTTGAACCCAAATATCTGTACTTTCTACTTCTTACATGTTGAACACAAATACCTGTACTTTCTACTTCTTACATGTTGAACTCAAATACCTGTACTTTCTACTTCTCACATGTTGAACTCAAATACTTGTACTTTCTACTTCTTACATGTTGAACCCAAATATCTGTACTTTCTACTTCTTACATGTTGAACACAAATACCTGTACTTTCTACTTCTTACATGTTGAACTCAAATACCTGTACTTTCTACTTCTTACATGTTGAACCCAAATATCTGTACTTTCTACTTCTTACATGTTGAACACAAATACCTGTACTTTCTACTTCTCACATGTTGAACACAAATACCTGTACTTTCTACTTCTTACATGTTGAACACAAATACCTGTACTTTCTAGTTCTTACATGTTGAACACAAATACCTGTACTTTCTACTTCTTACATGTTGAACCCAAATATCTGTACTTTCTACTTCTTACATGTTGAACACAAATACCTGTACTTTCTACTTCTCACATGTTGAACACAAATACCTGTACTTTCTACTTCTCACATGTTGAACACAAATACCTGTACTTTCTACTTCTCACATGTTGAACACAAATACCTGTACTTTCTACTTCTTACATGTTGAACACAAATATCTGTACTTTCTACTTCTTACATGTTGAACACAAATACCTGTACTTTCTACTTCTTACATGTTGAACCCAAATATCTGTACTTTCTACTTCTTACATGTTGAACACAAATACCTGTACTTTCTACTTCTCACATGTTGAACACAAATACCTGTACTTTCTACTTCTTACATGTTGAACACAAATACCTGTACTTTCTAGTTCTTACATGTTGAACCCAAATATCTGTACTTTCTACTTCTTACATGTTGAACACAAATACCTGTACTTTCTACTTCTCACATGTTGAACACAAATACCTGTACTTTCTACTTCTTACATGTTGAACACAAATACCTGTACTTTCTACTTCTTACATGTTGAACACAAATACCTGTACTTTCTACTTCTTACAGTTTGAACACAAACACCTGTACTTTCTACTTCTTACATGTTGAACTCAAATACCTGTACTTTCTACTTCTTACATGTTGAACACAAATACCTGTACTTTCTACTTCTCACATGTTGAACTCAAATACCTGTACTTTCTACTTCTCACATGTTGAACACAAATACCTGTACTTTCTACTTCTTACATGTTGAACTCAAATACCTGTACTTTCTACTTCTCACATGTTGAACACAAATACCTGTACTTTCTACTTCTTACATGTTGAACACAAATACCTGTACTTTCTACTTCTTACATGTTGAACAACAAATACCTGTACTTTCTACTTCTCACATGTTGAACACAAATACCTGTACTTTCTACTTCTTACATGTTGAACACAAATACCTGTACTTTCTACTTCTTACATGTTGAACCCAAATATCTGTACTTTCTACTTCTTACATGTTGAACACAAATACCTGTACTTTCTAGTTCTTACATGTTGAACCCAAATATCTGTACTTTCTACTTCTTACATGTTGAACACAAATACCTGTACTTTCTACTTCTCACATGTTGAACACAAATACCTGTACTTTCTACTTCTTACATGTTGAACACAAATACCTGTACTTTCTACTTCTCTCATGTTGAACACAAATACCTGTACTTTCTACTTCTCACATGTTGAACACAAATACCTGTACTTTCTACTTCTTACATGTTGAACCCAAATATCTGTACTTTCTACTTCTTACATGTTGAACACAAATACCTGTACTTTCTACTTCTTTACATGTTGAACTCAAATACCTGTACTTTCTACTTCTCACATGTTGAACTCAAATACTTGTACTTTCTACTTCTTACATGTTGAACCCAAATATCTGTACTTTCTACTTCTTACATGTTGAACACAAATACCTGTACTTTCTAGTTCTTACATGTTGAACCCAAATATCTGTACTTTCTACTTCTTACATGTTGAACACAAATACCTGTACTTTCTACTTCTCACATGTTGAACACAAATACCTGTACTTTCTACTTCTTACATGTTGAACACAAATACCTGTACTTTCTACTTCTTACATGTTGAACCCAAATATCTGTACTTTCTACTTCTTACATGTTGAACACAAATACCTGTACTTTCTACTTCTCACATGTTGAACACAAATACCTGTACTTTCTACTTCTTACATGTTGAACACAAATACCTGTACTTTCTACTTCTCTCATGTTGAACCCAAATATCTGTACTTTCTACTTCTCACATGTTGAACACAAATACCTGTACTTTCTACTTCTTACATGTTGAACCCAAATATCTGTACTTTCTACTTCTTACATGTTGAACACAAATACCTGTACTTTCTACTTCTTACATGTTGAACTCAAATACCTGTACTTTCTACTTCTCACATGTTGAACTCAAATACTTGTACTTTCTACTTCTCTCATTTCCAAAACAGCTGGTTCCTTTAGTCTGAATGTGTGTTTGGTGCGTGATCATTATTCTTTAGAGTCATTGCGTGCCTATTGATTTGAACACGATCCGTGTATCCATCATTTCCTGGTCTTCTCTAAAGAAGAGGGACCAATGGAAACGTTGTCATGTTGCCGTTGTTCAGCATGGAAACATTCATTAGCTAACAATGACATTATTGTTCTATTAATATAAAGGGAGGTCAGGTACTCTTTAAAGCAGCTGCTAGTTACGGGTACTTTTTACTGAAGTACATTTCAAAGCCTCTTTACTTTCACTTGAGTAAAGAAGTTTAGTCAGTACTTCTACTTTCACCAGAGTATTTTTAAACACGAGTATCTGTACTTCTATGTGTTTACTTTTGCCTTCACTGGTAAACAGATACAACAAATCTGGCTTTTCATACACAATTTAGAGCCATGTTTGACCACTAGGGTGCAGAAGAACTCCACAAAAAGCTGACAATCCTGAGATGGAAACTGTTTATCCAGCTCTTGGTAATGTGTCATTTAGCTTCAGCAGCCTATACCTGAGTTTAATAGCTTAAGGAGATTGTAAACCTGTGTAATCTGGAAATAAATGTTACCTGATTGAAGTGCCATTTAGAAGCTTAAACTGTTCTGAACCACTTTGCTCTGTCTTTCAGAAATCACTTCACATGGCACCAAAAGTCTCTGTATGTGAGGTTTAATCAGAGGAGGGAAGTAAAGAGGCCAAATAATCAAGAATAATTTATCTGATTAACTATCTGTTCGGCGAATGCTACGTTTTGAAACCGTGAATTGAACATGAAATGACATGTGATGTTGTACCCTAAACACATGGGTTTAACATTTATTGACGCTGAAATTGTGTTATCAGGGAATGTTTAAATAACCACAGACATTAGAATGATGTAATTTAGCAACAGAAAACGGCAGGATTTGCATTGGACACGCCCCCGTCGATGCCGGCCAATAGAAGAAGACTACAGTTGATAACCCGCAATGGACAGGAAGAATCGATCTCTTCCTTCACCTCGGCTGACCCAACGCACACGTGACAGGCAACAGCTGAATGGGGAGAGCGCCTCCACTCGCACATTTAATTTTGTATCATCGTATTATTTGTATAATTCTGTTAACTTTTCTAAGCTTCAATTGACGCTTTTCAGTTTATCCTGCACTAAGGGCTAAAGAAATCCTAATATCTTTAAATGAATCTAGTTTATATCTAAGAGATTTCCTGTTTGTGTTTAAATACATACTTTGTCTCCTTTAAGCCCGGGTGGTCCCGTTAGCCCAGGTGGACCCTGCAACCCCTGATGACAGATTGAAGAGAACAATTAGATCTGGATAATCATCAATACAAAAGATAATGATCTACAACATATTAGGATGTATTGATAAAAGGAAAGTGAGATAAATAAAATAAGCTCAACTTCAACTGCGAAAGAGAAAATTAGACTAGAACCAAAATACACATGTCATTATGTCTTAATTCTGATTAATATAATAATGACAATGGGTAAGGGGATATAGCTAGAAGAGTGTGAACTTCTAGAATAAATACACTGTAGAAATACATAATAAAAAGTCTGAGGTATCAGAAGGGTTACAGTACCACAGTTTGCCAGAAGAGGGTGAAGATTGCTCTCTATGAAACTAACACACACACACACACACACACACACACCCCCACACACGTATACATCACTTCAGGGGACATTACATTAACTTACATGCATTTCCTAGAGACTTATCCTAACCTTAACCACAACCAACACATGCCTAACCCTAACCCTAACCCTATTTAAAGGCAATGGACGTCCACTCTCGGGAGACGTCCGACAGTGGTGCGGTTACCCAAAGTGACAGACCTAATTTTATCCAGGAATAAGTGTTTGAAATGTGGGGAAAAGTGGTGTGAATAGAGGGAGACTGTACACAGACAGCAGGAGGCAGAACATGGCTTTTCTACCCAGGAAAAGGGTTTGAAACGTTGGGAAAAGTGGTGTAAATAGAGAATGAGTGAACCCGTGAACCCAGAGAGCAGGCTGTGCAGAAAATGTAAAAAAGTATCCGAAAATAGTGTCTCATAATAATGGTAGAGTCCCCTCAAACTCCCCTTGCATTCCTCCAGAGACCAGTTTGCCAACTTAAAGTTCTGTAAGAACCAGGCTGGGGGGTCTCCAGGCATCAAATATATCCGAGACAGAGTGCACTTGGAGCGGATACATTCATCCAGGATATCAGACAGCCGTTTTTTTCTGAGTGCCTTCAAAAACCGGGTTTCCGAAAAGTGTGCGGACAGTAGTCTGAAATGGATGGATGAATATTTTCGACGGAGAAGGGGAAACTTTTTTTCATTTCTCCGTTGAAAATGTTGACGGAGAAGTGGAAAAGTGTCCGGGGCTTCGGCCCGAAGCGCCAAAGGGTTGAGCTTTTTCGAGCCCCTTCTCCGTTCTAAAACTTCATTTTTTATTATTTTAAGATATAATTAACCGTTTTCTTCACTTTTTTCTTCTTTCCACGGGTGGGGGCGCATGGCAGGCCGCCTGTGAGCTCCCAAATTCGTCCTGGAACCTCCAATATTTGTGGGCTAAGCTCCATAAACTGACAAAATCACCCAGAAATATCACTTTTCTAGCCCAGAAATATATAATACAAATACATTTAAATAGTAAAAGGTACAATTGTGCTCCGAATTACCCGGAATTTGATTTATATAGCCCCATGATAGTGATTACAAATCATTTTCGTGGAAAAAAGTGTTAAAACGCCTGATTAAAGCATATGCAGGACCCCAGTGAGCTCCAGACTATGTGCATTGTGTTAGGGAACCATATAACTGATAAAGTAAATCATTTAAATGCAAGGATAATGATTATAAATCATTTTTAGGGGGACAATTGTGGAGAGGAGCCTGAAAATGACTCTCCAGCACCCCGGAGAAGCAGGGTGTGAGACTCACAGACACCCACAGAGACCCAGGGACCCAAACACCCAGGGCACACCAACCCCCTCTATTACCCAGGGAACAGGGCTCTGATGTGGGCTAAAGTATTGTTAGAAACTGCTCAATCTGTTCATAATGCTGGCAGCAGGGTCACTGCTGTTAGCAGGGTCTGAGACTCACAGAGACTCACAGAGACCCACAGAGACCCAGGGACTCATATGCTGTGAAAAGTGGTGTGAATAGAGGGAGAGTGGAGCCAGGGAGCTCCACGCAGCAGATGGCTCTTCCACCCAGACTGTAGCCAGAGAAGAGGCTGCTTCACAGCACTTTAGAACCCAGGAAAGCAGCTTGAAACATGAGTCTTAAAAGTGCATTAAACTGTTTTAATTTGAGCGTCCATTTGACTGCATAAACTGACAGTCAAATGGACAGATTTCTGTCCATTTGATTGTCAGTTTATGTCGTCAAATGTACAAGAAGAGAAAAACAGCAGAGTCACTGCTGTTAGCAGGGTCTCAGACTCACAGGCACATATGCAGAGATCCAGGGTGATGCACATGGCTTTCCTACCCAGGAATAAGTGTTTGAAACGTGGGGAAAAGTGGTGTGAATAGAGGGAGAGTGGACCCAGAGAGCTCCATGCAGTTCTGCCTCTGCCTCCTTGCTTGGTCGGGCCGCTCAACGGTCAGCTTCACATACTGTTACACACACAGGTACCCCCCCCCCCACACACACACACACACACACTACTGTCTGCTTCTCTCTCACACACACACACACACACACACACACACACACACACACACACACACACACACACACACACACACACACACACACACACACACACACACACACACACACACACACACACACACACACACACACACACACACACACACACACACACACACACACACACACACACACACAGGTATACACTTTACTGAATCTACTGTCTTTGCACACCGGAACAGATGATATTGTATATACCTTTGCAAGATATTTTAGAATTGACAACTGATATATGTTGCAATCCTTAATCAGATACTAGAAATGGATATCAAACACTTTTTCTTATGTATTTATAACATCATCACTCAGTCCTTAAAGCAGCTTTTAACAAGACCTATAATGACAAAAATACTAAGTATACTGAGCATGTACACAAGTGATGCTAAATGTAAACAATGTCTTACCATCTGAGGTCCGTGACGTCTGGCTGTGTCTGCAGCCGGCTGATTGGCTGATTTATCACTCTGCAGTGGAGATTCAGTCTGTGATTGGACGAAGGAGTCTTGGGAGATCTGATCAGGTGAGGATTGATTATAATCCTCTGAAATGTCAGCGTCATTATCAGAACTTCCTTTTTCCATCTCTTGCACTTCCTCTTCCTGCTTTACATCGATCACATCTGTCTCCAGCCCACTCCCCTGATCCCCACCTGGAAGATGTGTTTCTGTGTTGGGTGAAACACTTAGCAACCTGTTCCTTATGTCCTCCTTAATCTCACCGTGTGAAACATTACCCCTCTCCTCCTCCATGTCCCTGGCATGTAGTGCCTTTCCACTAGGAGATAAAACAGCACGGTTTGGGGCTGGATCTTTCTGATTCGCAGGAAAGTCCTTTTCTGTATTTTCTTCTACCGACATTGTAGGTATAAAAACAAGTGGTGACGCCTCCTGTCTCGCCTCCTGTCTCGCCTCCTTTGCACCTCCTTCAGATGCAGGGTACACACTGGAGGTAGCACACTCTGAATCTGTGATGGGCCTTGAGATGAGAGTAGATCTGGTGGCAAATTGTGGTTCTTTATAGGAAGATATCTCTGACTCTGCCTCCCCTGAAGCTGTGGGGGTCTCAGCGTGAAGGTTAAGGCTCGTCTCAACACTTTCTAAATCACTTGTTCTGGAGTTTTCATTCTGCTCTTCCTCAGTGTGTTGTGTTTGGTCAGAGAAGGTCGTGGTTATGTTACTTCCCTCTGTGCTCTGTGGTTGCTTTATCGTCTCAGGGTCCACTTTAGAAAGCTGCTCATTTCCAGTCAGAGAGGAAGGACCTCCAGCTTGATTCACATCTGTACTCACAGCTGTTTGTCCGTCGTTGTCTCTGTCTGTTGAGCCTAAAGTCTCAGTGATGTGTTTTACTCCAGATGTGGCATCTACACCCTCTGGATCAGGGAGTGGATCCAGTCTGGGCGTCTCCTCAGAGGGGTTGGCCTGTAGAGAGTTTTCCGGTCTGGGTAATTCTCCGATCCCGGGCTGAATGGAGAAATCCTCTGAAGCTGCAACCTCCTGAAAGGTAAACAAGGGAATATATTACCCAACATGCACTGTGTGTTCTGAGCTCCTTTTAATTTCCTTTAGTGAGATTTACACTACAGAAGAAGTGACAAAATAATTCTGGTGATCAACTTTCAAAATCTGATCTAAATCAATTTCTCTGTTATTTCTCACTATATGTAAAGAAAAAAACCGTTTGCCTGAACCATTGATCCAAATCATGATTTTCCATTTTTGATAGTGAACGTTTTTTCAGGTGAATTTAGTTTTATAACCATTTTGTATTTTGTTTAGTTTTGTTGCTTTTGTAATTCTCTTTTATGAGTGTGAACCCAGACCAAGCAAGGAGGCAGAGGCAGCACGTCCCAAATATAACCCGGTGTGGGCATTTATTACATCATGAACACGATACACACAGCCTCAATCCTGCTGCTGCTGTTCACGTGGGCCCAGCCTGCCGCCACCAGGATACACACACACTACCAGCCTCCAAACAGACAGGGCAACAGACCCTAAATACACACACTAATCAGCAATTGGACACAGGTGGGGGGGAGGAGACAACACAGGGCACCAGGTGCACACAATGAACAGCACAGACATGGGGGAAGGGGAACACTTTTAACATGAAACCAGGAAACAGAGACAGACAAACTAGTTACATAAATGACATATATTCCCCTGCTTCCTGTGCAATGTTTTTAATGCTATATTACCCGTAACGGAGGCCGAGATCTATGGGCCCAGAGATCACCTCCGTTACAATGAGTAAAAGCGTCTGAAGTGCATCACTCTGTAAATATTAAGGTTTTCTCCCAGATGAGTTTATTTCTACAAGCTGTAACAAAATACACCCTGTGCCTAGCGTGCATGGAGAAATTCATGCACATCAGCATGTCATTACTGAATGAAAAGTGAAGCTGGGGAAAGGCCACACACACACACACACACACACACACACACACACACACACACACACACACACACACACACACACACACACACACACACACACACACACACACACACACACACACACACACACACACACACACACACACACACACTACTGTCTGCTCACACACTGCTGTCTGCTTCACACACAGGTGTACACACACACACACTCCGCTCACACTCACAGGTGTGTGCACTTACTGTGCCTAATCAAACCTCCTCTAATGACACAGTGGGCGTTTTAATTTTTGCCTCTGAGCTGCTTATTAGATTTGTTGCATGACGTTTAGTAAACTCACATAAATCCCAGCAGAGCTTCACCGAACTCCAACCTGTGCAGGGGCAGTTTGGCAAATATATAGACGTCGTGCAGCTTTACCGTCCATACCATGTTGGTACAGCAGAAACAAGAATGTTGACCGGTTGTTTGATTAGCTGACTCTTTCCTATTTGAGTTTTAATAACCATACATTTGAGCATTTTAACAGGATTATTATGGGAGGTTTGAGACTCCTATACGGTCTGACTGTGAATCACACACTGCTGCTATTTCTCTGAGACATCGAAAGAAAGTGAATTAAAAAAACATGTGCAATTTTGGTTCAATTTCATAAGTATCTCTTTCCCTTTTTTCTTATCGAACCATTATTGATGAATGGAGGAATACTCGTGTATAATTATAAAACGAGTGAAGTAATTAAAACATTTTTTACCAGGACTGAGTTTAAAATTAGGATAAAAGCAGATTTTAAATTAACGATTTGATTCAAACAACATGTAAAAGTGTTTGTTAAATACATGCTCGGGTTAAATATGTGAAATATGTCTTTCTAGAACCTTCCACGGTGACGGAGGCGGTGACATTTCTTTCCACACAGCGTTTTATGAGAGTTACTGGTGGATGTGAAAGTTTCCCCCTGCCTCTCTTCCTCTCACATGCACATGCAAGAAGCTCCTAAACCTGATCAGGAATATTTCAGCTGCTGGTGAAACTCACAACAAAAACTTGGTGTTCAGCCAAAAGACATTTGAAGAAAACACTCAAACCGCATTCAAAGCAACAGAAAAGCGAGTTCAAGATTACAGTGAATTGTGATTTTGAAGATTATGACATATTTCTAATTGTACTAAAATACAACTCCAAGTTGTAATTAAAACATTGAATCCATTTAATCATGTTATTAAATGCTCTGAATATTTATCATTGTAGATATGAAGCAAGTCTCTAAACAAGAAAATCATATTAAATAATAATATAGCACCTTCCAAGCTATCACTTAAAAACCTTTGAATACACAGAGAATGAAATGAAATAACAACCAGCCACTAAAACCACTGCAGACCACAGAGAGGAAAACCAACAGAACTAATACACACTTATAAGTTGAAGCACCTTGAGATGACGTTTTTAAAGTGTGCTATATAAATGAAATGTATTATTATTATTATAAAACATAAATGAAATCACATAAACGCCATTCTTAAAAAAGCAGGTTTGTAAAAGAGACACTTTCGGCTTTAACATTTGACCCTGAATCTGACTAACTGATTCTGAGTATTTCATTTCTTTACTCTGCAGCTATGACTAACGGGAGGGCCACCTCTGTACGGACTCTGCTTTCTGCCCTCCTGCTTCTACTCACTTTGTTTGTTTCTCTGATGTATAAACTGCCTAATAGTTGAAATAGAAGAGTAAGACTTACGCAGCTCAGCAGCAGCACGACAAACAGCACAGCGACCGGCATGGCTTCTGATCAAAAACACGTCTGAACTCCGACTGAATGTGAGCAGGTTCAGGTGCAGGGGCTGGACTTCACACACACACACACACACACACACACACACACACACACACACACACACACACACACACACACACACACACACACACACACACACACACACACACACACACACACACACACACACACACACACACACACACACACACACACACACACACACACACACACACAACACACACCTAGTAAGGTTTATTTATACAGTACAGCACATTTTCAGAACATTAACACTTAATAGGAAGACAACAGAAATGAACACAATGGAATAAGAGATTCATAAAAAACAGAGATGTCAAAAACACATCCTTTACTGAAGTAGAAGTACAGATACTCGTGTTTAAAAATACTCTAAAAAAAGAAAGTACTGACTAAAGTTCTTTACTCAAGTAAAAGTAAAGTGGCTTTGAAGTGTCCTTCAGTAAAAAGTACCCATAACTAGCAGCTGCTTTAAAGAGTACCTGACCTCCCTTTATATTAATAGAACAATAATGTCATTGTTAGCTAATGAATGTTTCCATGCTGAACAACGGCAACATGACAACGTTTCCATTGGTCCCTCTTCTTTAGAGAAGACCAGGAAATGATGGATACACGGATCGTGTTCAAATCAATAGGCACGCAATGACTCTAAAGAATAATGATCACGCATCAAACACACATTCAGACTAAAGGAACCAGCTGTTTGGGAAATGAGAGAAGTAGAAAGTACAGGTATTTGAGTTCAACATGTAAGAAGTAGAAAGTACAGGTATTTGTGTTCAACATGTAAGAAGTAGAAAGTACAGGTATTTGTGTTCAACATGTAAGAAGTAGAAAGTACAGGTATTTGTGTTCAACATGTAAGAAGTAGAAAGTACAGGTATTTGTGTTCAACATGTGAGAAGTAGAAAGTACAGGTATTTGAGTTCAACATGTAAGAAGTAGAAAGTACAGGTATTTGAGTTCAACATGTAAGAAGTAGAAAGTACAGGTATTTGAGTTCAACATGTAAGAAGTAGAAAGTACAGGTATTTGTGTTCAACATGTAAGAAGTAGAAAGTACAGGTATTTGTGTTCAACATGTAAGAAGTAGAAAGTACAGGTATTTGAGTTCAACATGTAAGAAGTAGAAAGTACAGGTATTTGTGTTCAACATGTAAGAAGTAGAAAGTACAGGTATTTGAGTTCAACATGTAAGAAGTAGAAAGTACAGGTATTTGTGTTCAACATGTAAGAAGTAGAAAGTACAGGTATTTGTGTTCAACATGTAAGAAGTAGAATTAAAAAGTGGTCAGAAATATAAGTAGTGGAGTAAAGTACTGATACCAGATAAATGTACTTAAGTACAGTAACAAAGTATTTGTACTCCAATACTTCCCACATAAAAACCACATTGTAATATACGGTAGGTGCTAAAAACAAGTTAAAAGACTTCAGCTGAAAAAAGTTATGTTTTTAGCCTCGATTTAAAAGAACTCAGCGTTGGTGAAGACCTTTCTGGAAGTTTGTTCAATTGTGTGGTTGCATAAAAACTAAAAGCAGCTTCAGCGTTTGGTTCCGAGCCGGGTTTCCATTTAGTGCTTTATAAGTTAGCAATAACATTTTAAATGGATTCTGTAAGCTACTGGTTGCGGACAGAGCGATGACCAAACATATACAGACAGTTATTAACCAGGAAGCCGGACACTTTTTATCAGTTATTTTATTCTCGTCTTATTCCCACTCCAACTTCCACAGAAAGTAGATCCTGAGATCCCAGTTATTATGGGAAATATAAACCCTGACTAGCGTAGACTGCTCTTAATTCAGGTCGTGTGAACCTGGATGTGACTTGTTTTTCAAAGAGGAATCATTATTTATTTGATTGTATTTTATTTGTATTATCACACCTTTTACCTCCTTGTGTCTCTTAAAGGTGGGGTAGGTAATTCACTTCAGAAACACTTGTTGTTATATTCCATGGAATGCTCTTAACATCCCGATAGCAATGAATACATGAAATGCTTTTGTAAGGGAAACTTCTGCAGCAATGGAGAGTCAGGGCTCAGAGAGACACGAGGAGAGTTGGAGCTTTGATGTCAAACAATGATGTTTATTACAAGGATACGGCCGGAGAATTCATATCACAAGTCACAGCAGCCAAAGGTTCTGACTGCCCGGGTGGGTTGTCATGTCAATTCTGATCTGCCTATCTCTCGATAGACCCTTTAACTAGTTTACAGAGAGTCAACTCACATATTGGGGCGTTAACACCTGGAGACACTGAATCACTTATCTGACTCTTAGGCTCTGTGACCGAGAGTTGACCGGTCATAAAACTTGTAATGTCAACAATAGCTGAGACTTCCCATTCCTTAAGACAGATAACAGACTTAGGGTTCGTCGTAAAGGTCAACAGGCAGAAAGGTTAAATATCTGGGAGTAAAGACAACATTATTCCCTCACAGCTTTGACAATCAAACATGTCACCTCTGGACCCATCTAACTGGATGGCCTACCTGCCTGTCAGCCTTCCATCTGGGCACCAACTCATCTCGTGCCCTCATTGGTCATGTGCGCGTTCGTGTGTGGAGGAGGAGGGGCTCTGTGAGGAAGTCTGAAGGAAGGGGCAGATTTTTCCCGGCTATGTACTTTCACATTCTAGCGCACTCAAGCTGGTTTCTCCAACATTACATACCCTACCTTTAAGCTGTTTAAATGTTATATGTTGCTGCATGTACCAAAAGGTTTTAACATCTGATCTGAGGGGAATTTCTTGTTGTTTATTTTTAACTTGTGATGTGTCGCCATTTTGTAAAGCACTTTGAGCTGTACGTGCTGTATGACAAGTAATATATAAATAAAGCTTTATTATTATTATATAAACTGAAATCATGATTAACAGTGAATTTGTTTATTTGAAACATGCTTGTTCCTTAGTGCCCCAGAGTTTATGAGATGACTGAACGCATCTGGTTCGGAGCTTTGAGAACTTACGATTCTAATTATTTTATTTGGAAGTCCGCTTTTCGGATTTATCTTATAATGAAAGACGATGTTTGTACTATGTATTATAATGAGTAAGTATTGGGAGAAAATACTACAATATGGAGGGATAATTATTTACATGAACGCTGTGTTTTTTTTACTTTCCTGTCCACCTGATGTTCCTTCCAATCAAACATTATTGAAATGAACAACCGAGAAAATAAACAAATGGCTATCCTGTGCTAACTCTGCCATTGAACTTCACATTGACCCCCCTCTCTCTATCGGGTCAGGAGGAGGACTGAGCTCCAGGTGAGGAATGTGACACATGAAGATCAGAAGAGGATGGCTGGAGGTTTACGGTAAAAAGAGTGAGGTGAGGAAGAGCCAGGACTAAAGAACTAAAACACCCTGACGCCAGGGGGGGCTCTGCTGCAGACCGCCGTCCAGAAACAACTTGTCAGGTTACTGATGATATGAGGACCCAAACGCAGTAGAAAAGGGAACCAAGAAGTATGAGCTTTATTCAAAAGCTGAAAACAAAACAAAGAAACACCAACCGGGTGAAAGAGGGAACAAACTCACAGACAGGATCATGAAGGTTACATTGACGACAATCGGACAAGGAACACAAAGGAAAGCAAGACTAAATACACAGAAGGGTAATCACAAGACAAGAAGCAGCTGGAGAGGGGAGGTGAAACGCAGGAGCAACAGGTGAACACAATGACACAGTCAGACAGGAGGGAAACCAAAGACTGGGGGTGTTTCTCAATGTCGAGGAAGGATGCTGCAGAGCCACTATTTCAAGCATACTACGTCATCGAGTCCCGCCGAAGGACTGTTCCAATGTCCAGCATGCTTGGAATTCTACCGAGCCCAGCGTACTTCGTAACGAGAAATTTCGAGGCTGCACATGTGTAGACTCCGCGGTCTTAAAATCCCCACAATGCTTTGCGCACGGACCAATTTCCCCAAATCTGTGGCGGAAAATGTAAGAGGCGGGGCCTCTCATATGACGCACACTTGCTCGCCTGTTCCACTCTTCGTTTTCCGAATGCCAGGAAGGATTCTTGCCTCGCTTCTGAAGCAAGTGACTCGGAAGACATGTGCTACCAAGGAAGCGTACTCGACATTGAGAAACACCCAATGACACAGTCAGACAGGAGGGAAACCAAAGACAGGAAGTAACAGACATAACAGGGGGGTGACCACTTTTCAAAATAACAGTGGATAATATCAACAATGACCCATAACCATGACACAACTGGACTGATGCTGAGCCACGATCCATCCCACAGGGCAGCAGGAAACCAGAGAGAGAGGTGAGAATAAATCCTATACAGCAGCATTGAGTTTCCTATTGAACCTTAGAGTTACTTTAGCTCAATTCAATCCATCCCCACTTCCTGTCCATGTGAGCGATTGTGTGTACTGTAGGGTCCGCCACATTAAGTGCCGTTCAGAACCAACTAATGGGGATTGGAAGTTATCAACCCCTTGACAGGAAGTTAGTAACTCTCCAACAGGAAGTTATTAAGGGTTGCAGCGGAATTGTCCAAAGAAATCATCTCCTATCCTCTATTCCTTGACCTCTGTGTGAAACGTCATGGGGTTAAGGAATAGTGGATAGGAGAATTCAATAGGACTTAGGAGAAGAGACTGCGGTGCTTTGAGAGTCTGCACATACACTATCTGACCAATCGACCAAATGTCGTGTCACGGTAAATGTTGCTGTAAGGCATTGTGGGGCAGCATTTTCTCCTTTCCTTTCGTAAAGGAAGGTCCAGTGGTTCCTAAGCTAAAGGAGGTTATAAAGGAAGTATTGAAGCTACTTTCCTATCATCTAGACTAGAGAATCAAACAGCTCTTATCATGGCTGCCACTGAGGGACTTCCGGGTCGTTCTGTAGGAACCTTCCTAAGCTAAACTGACGATTCCTAACGGAGTGAAATGACCCGAAAAGTACCTCAGTGGCAGCCATGATAAGATCTGTTTGATTAGATGATAGGAAAGGAGCTTTGAAACTTCCTTTATAACCTCCTTTAGGAAACACTGGACCCTCCTTTAGGAAAGGCCTAACAAGTTTAAAATAAATACAATAGTAATTGTATTTCGACCGCAACCAAGCTGCCTGTTTGTATCCCTCATGAAACACGCGGTGTAAAAATGCTTCCTGGCAAACATGGAAGGTAAACTGCAGAAAATAAGATAAATACTGCTGCTCCCAGGCTCCTCCCCTTCCTGTCCTCAGACCACCAATAGCATCTCCTCCTCCTCTGACCCAGACGCACACTCAACTCACCTGGAAAACTCTCATGTAAACGTTAGCACACGCACACACACACACTCATAAGCATGCTCAGAGGCACGTCTACCTGCTCATTTACTGGAAATATACAGCGGTGAGACGAGAGGACGGCTCAGTATGGATTTTAGTCTCAGAGTAAATAGTTTCCTCACAGGGGAACGTAAACTGTATCACAAAGCTGACAGATTCAGACGCCATCAGAGAGTGTGTGTGTGTGTGTGTGTGTGTGTGTGTAAACACTGAAGGTCAGGTTTAACAGCTAAATCCTTTCAACCTACACATCATGGAAAGGCAAACTAAATAAACTAGCCGTCTGCAGACACCCTGTCAGCTCTCTGGAAAATCATCTTTTGTAGTTTAACATCGATGTTCAGAGTTAGTTTGAAAAAATTAAGATATTTTACAAATTCTGTTGGGTTTTTAAACATATGACCTCAATACATTGGCTTTGTCTGTTCTTCATGGACGCCTTTCAACGCCCTTCGCCAACAGGCCCATATGTGACAGACAATCTGAAAACAATGCCTCCGTCTCCCGTGTAATATGTTTACAGTATATAGTCACCTATTTAAGTATTTAAAGGTAGTAACATCAGTCAGTGAAGAAAAGACAAGTGCTCTCTCTTTAATGGTCCTTTGCACAGATATGTAAACACTTCATTTGTTTAGGTCATAGACAATAAATCAATGAAACATGGATTCATTTTGTACACGTTATCCTACATATTTAGCAGAAGGCTTCTCTATCTATGAACTCCAGGCGTTTTAGGGGTGGTGTCCCCAGGCACAGATCAGGTTGTAGAGACGGACACTGTTCACGTGGTAGACTACGCCCTGAAGCCCTAACACGACATGTTTACTGTAGGAACCCATCGTGGGGATTTTAAAGGAGGTTTCTCTGCTAAAATACGTCTTTTTTTTTACCCAGTCCAGGTTTTCCAGTCCAGATAAGTCCTGTGTTCACATTTCAAAACATGTATTACAGAAACACAACAGTACGTGATATAAATACACATCTTATTTAAGGGAAGGTTGGAATGATCAAAGATATCGATAGTGGATGCTGGGACAAAAAATAGTGTTGTTACGTCATTACTCTGTGGGGGAACTGGGTTTGAATGCCAGTGTAATCATGATTAGGGCTCCACGAGTATGACAAAATCACAATATGGGCATGTGCATTATTCAAATTGCAGGATGCACAATGTACGATAAAGACTAATTATGTGTTGGAATACATTTTAAATTTGGAGCTGCAGAGATATACATTTAGTTGCCAGCTTAGTGAACTGAAGTACCCCAACGTTTCATGTTAGAAATGTACAGTAGGGTCTCCAGCTCATAGAAACTGCCGGATGCTAACCTGCATATGTTGGGCAATTTGAAAGTTGCATTCATTGACATATTCAGACAACAGCTACAAAAATGGCTTGGCTATTTTGGAGGTTATTGGGGATCCATTTCTGACACTTTCAGGATAAAAGGAATGATTTTGAGTCCTCTTAAACTTCTTAATGGACCCAACATTGATCAAAATCAGGCAACAGAGTACAAATATGGCCTAAACTGCCATTTAAGATCCTGAAATGGTCAGAAATTGATTAAACATCCTCAATAACCTCCAAAACCACTTCAAAAGTGTCCAGATCGGCCAAGCCATATTGTAACTACTGTCTGCATACGCTATGTAATGCTAATTAACACAACTTGTGCTAATTGCCCAACATCTGCAGGTTAGCTTCTGGCAGTTCTATGAGCTGGAGACCCTACTAAACATTTCTAACATAAACATTTGGGGTCTCAACATCTCTGGGTTCACAACAGCACTCTATGAGCTGGTAAATAGACTATATCCCAGCCTACAAATCGAATTCAACAGACGTAACAAAACATATTATTTAAGTACAGATCGTCTTAGAAAACTCACACAATTATAATCTAATGTATTTTTGTATAAAGAGACTTTAGGATCAATCCCTCCTATATCCTCTACGGATTGTGATTGCAGTTCCAGTCTAAACACATTATTTTGGTCCAAATCGTGCAGCCCTAATCATGGATGCATTGAAATAATAACAATAAGATATTCCTCTCTCACACCTCTCATCGTCACTATGATCATGCATGTGGAAACTACAATAACAATGGCTGTTTACATATAAGCAAACCATAGAATGATTCCTCTTTTTGTGGAAGTGTCCGTCACAGGAAGGAAGGAAGGAAAGACGTCGTCCCTGGTTGTGTTTTTACTGGAAGAAAATGGCTTTGAAATCGACAGAATCCAGCACAGAAACAAACCTCCATGATCCTTCAGCGGGCCGACGATGGTCATGTGACATCGTGCTGACCGACCTGTGGAGATCACTTCCTGTCCGTCTGATTTTCACACTTAAGGTCCAATGAAGAGCGACTCAGAAGGTCTTATATTACAAATGTGACGGTCCAGTGTCCTGAGACAAAATATCTCTTCTCCTGTAATCTGTCCCGGATCTTCAGCATGTTCTTCACATCAACACAAAGCAACACTTTGAGGGGAGACACTTCAGGTAAGTAAGGGAGATAGATACTTGTATTGTGGATGTTCTCTTTCCTCTAGTCATGAAACAACAGTGTTTTCCTGTAGTGTCTCGCCTTGTGGAACATTATATTATAGCATTGATGTTTTAATGCCCGCAGACATGTCGATTCTCTGGTTGCAAACAGGACCTGGTTTATAAACCGGAGAGTTTCATGGCTACATCCACGACCAACGGCAACCCTCTGAACGTCTGAAACTAAAATACATTCATCGTATCACATCTTTACATGCTACCTCTATGTTCACCTGCACAAAACTCACCCAGGTCCGTCTCTGGGACCCAAAGAGAGGTTCGGACGCCGTCGTGTCTCCACATTTTGTTCAAATCACAATCAAAACACAACGCCCTGCCTGCAGTGATCTACGTATAGTACAGTCTCTGCTGTGCTATTCATTTGGCACCGTTTCTCTATTAAGAGCACACACACACACACACACACACACACACACACACACACACACACACACACACACACACACACACACACACACACTCAGTTTGTGATGCTGCTGCTGCTGAGAAGTGCTGTGTCTCTCTGCATGGTGGATTGAATTTAAGTAAATTGTGGCTCTAAGACACGATAGTGAGTAGATTAGACAAAGATACGGCAACAAAGTGACTTCTAATTGAACTGAATACACTAATGGCGCATTTCCACTACAGCGCGGTTTAAGTATGCTGTGCCCGGCATACTTAAACCTTGAGACCTCAGAAATCGGGAGCATTTCAAAACCACCGTGGGGGGGTGCTAGTGGATCGCCAGAGCTGTTAGATTAACATTAACATGCTTATTGTAGTTGTAAGTGCACTGCCTTGCGGCCTGTAGCACCATCCTTGATGGAGCATAAGGAAAGGAATGAGCAGAGGGTAGAGTTGTCGATTCTTGTTCTGTTTTCTGTGACTATCGGCTCACCCTCTCAGACTTTCAGTTGCGCGCGCTACTAAAGAGACGCGCTACCATGGAAACCAAACAATGGTGTAGCTGTATTAAAGTCCGAGTGGAAACAGTCGTGAGTAAATCTGATTTTGTCAGAAATCGGGAGAAATGCGGGAGAGGGCAGTGAAATCGGGAGGGTTGGCAAGTATGGTGCCCGGTCAGTTTTTGGTTGCGTTTCCACTCGGCGTAGTTCCGGCCAGCGGGTACTTTTTCACAGTTTTCTGGCTCTCCAAAATCCAGGTTCTTTCCGGGCCAACAACCGGGCTGAGTATGCTGAACTAGAGAGAGAATCGCTGGCAAGGGGGCTACAACTACAACAAGATGAACATATTTGACCGTGATTTAATTGTAATACACGTTTCTAAATGATGCCGAAGTAACAACATACTGATACCGGTTAGTAAAAACCATGAATTAATGCTTTGACAAGTCTGCAGACAGACGGCAGGCGAAACACCCTTTTAAAATGCGTGTTTTCTAAATGGAGCTTGGCTAAGCTAACGCAGTATATGCTCCGACCGTCCACACTCACAACAACGGCCTACAGACATAAATAAAGCAGCGACTGTATTCGCCATGACACAGGCAGTCTGTGGTTTGTACTTGTTTAACTTCTGTCTAGTTTCTGAACAGATATGAGGAGCTGTGAGCTCTGAGTGCTAACAGCTAACGGCTGATGTTGGTTTTCTGTGGTTTGCATTGAAGATGGCGTCACGGCTCCTCCTACACTGCGTTACTATAGTTACCGCCCCAGCTACTAAACTGTAATGGAAACGCAGCATAAAGTGAGCCTGGCCTAACGAGGCCTAACTATACCGTACTAAGCCGAGCGAGCCCTGCAGGGGAAATGCGCCATTAAACTTATATGTGGTAAATATAACTTGGGGGGGAATTCAAACCATTTTTACCTAGAAATTCAGTAAATTGAAATCTTAAAGTATAAGTTAATGCAAGTTAATTTCATACAGGTATTCACTAAATATCTCCTATAGATAAATATTTAATCCAATTTCACCACATATTTAGTAATCTAACTTACGTTTACTCAGGTTCTTGGTAAATAAATACAGAATTAAATCACTAAATCCAACATAATTTAACTTTCTTTGATAAACATTGACTAACTTTAAACAATGTATTCAATACTTGTTTAATCAAATTGTTGAACTAATTAATTATATTGGGTGTCACTTTGTTGCCAGATTTCTTTTAAGTAAGCAATGGTCACATTTTTACGGTGTAGTTCACTGCATCTCGTGCACTTTGCACACGTATGCAGTGTGTGAATTTTGACTTTCAAATCACACACACTGGCCGTTTCTCAATGTCGAGTAAACCTGCTGCAGAGCCGCTATTTCAGTATACTACGTCATCGAGTGGCGGCCGAAGAACTGTTTAAATGCCCAGCATTCGGCGCCACTCGATGACGGAGTATACTTGAAATAGTGGCTCTGCAGCATGTGTTCTCGACATTGAGAAACTGCCACTGTGTCCTAACAGGAAGCGACAACAGTTGCTATCAGCTAGCATTGTTAGCGGTACTCAATCAGATGCAGAGGGCTGAATTAACACTATGAGCTTAATGGTGTGTTTCTTAAATACTAAACAAAACCCCCACATGAATAACTTGTATATTTATAGTGTTGTATGTTTTCTGCAGAAAACACAGCGGCCATTGAGTGTGAGAAGTGTCCAGCGTTCAACACTTAACTTTTGGACCGTTCTGAAAGCACCATCCAGGCAGTCCTTTTGCCAAAACTTAGCATTTAAACGCACTTCAAATGCAATCAAAACAGCAGGAAGTACGCAGTTTGAGACAGATCTCAGAGGTCCTGGTGCCTCATGGAGTCGCTTCCTCGTTCCTCATTCCTCTTGTGCGTCGTGGAGTTTTTTAGCAGCGGTCGTCATTGGAACGCACTCAAGCAATCAGAACAGCAGAAGTAAATACAGAAGTACGCAATTTGAGACACGACACAGATCTCAGAAGTCCTTGTGCCTCGTGGAGATTTTTTCCGAGTCGCCTCCTCTTCTGTTTTTTTAGCAGCGGTCGTCCTCGTCCGTGTCGCTCAGCAGCTCATTGGCTCCTGAAGGACTCGCCTGGCCCAAAGTCTTTGTGCGGATGTGTCCGTTGGGAACCTGCCAGGAGTGTCTGAGCTGAGGGGCGGAGCTTATGGCGTTAGCTCGTCCCAAACTGGTGGCCACGGCCGTCTCAAAAGTGAGAGTTTCCTCCCCGTCAGCTCCCTCCATGACGTCATCGTGAAACGGCAAGAAGGGCTCTGAGATGTAGCGTTGAGGCGAGGGGTGGCTTTGACCTCCAAATGACCCCTGACCTTCAGACGACCCCTGACCTCCAGATGACCCCTGAACTGGAGGAAGGGGGCTGGTTTCTTTCTCCGGTTTCAATTTGGAGGCTCCAGATCCATCCTGAGGCGGGGAATCAAGATTCAAGGCTTTTATTGTCATTTTGCACACAATGAATTAACACATTAATGTACACAATATCGGTTTTCTTTTTTTATTACTGCCACATTTTATTCCATTTTATTTCTATGTAAATACTGCTATATTTTAATATATATTTTATTATTTAAAATATTTTTTAATGTTATTATAGTTTTCTTAAAGTGGACCTATCATGCTATATTTGAAACATATATTGTAGGGCCATACATATATATATATGATTCTGCTTTTGTGGCAGACTACAGCGCCACCTACAGGCCTGGCATATGTACTACAGCGTCTCCAGCGCTTTCGAGCGGTCTCTCATTCCCCTGATAGGTGGAGAGTTGCCTATATATGCGGAGCTCCCCTTTTCTGACGTCAGAAAAATTCAAATAATAATCAGCCCCGTTTTTAGAGATTTGGGTACGGAGGAAAAGAGAGAGGGTTGTGTTTTCTGACACACCGGGGACACATATTCATGTATAAAAGACGTACAAAAGTGCATTTTGCATGATAGGTCCCCTTTAAAATACTTATATATCTGTGTTTTTAATAAAAGTTCAGGTGTTTAACAGTGGAGGAGGATGTAAGATAAGATAAGATTGTTGTGCCAGAGTTACAAAAATACCAAAAAGATGTACCTCGGGGGCGGAGGAAGATTCTGCTAAAACTGTGACGGTGGAGGATTGGCAGACCAGAGGAGAGTAGGAGATGTAGGGTCGAGGGCGAGAGGGAGTCTGAGGAAGCTGGCGACGATTTCGAGGCGTCCCGGAGTCAGAGTGGGCGGGGCTTACAGACGAGTTCACCTGCAAACAACACACACAGGTACGTTCAGTTGAAATTAGCTTAACCAGGGATGTGATTCAAAGTCAATTGAGTCAAAATTCTGTGAAAAAGTCAAAGTTCTGAAAAAAGTTAAAGTTCTAAGAAAAAGTCAAAAATCTGAGAAAAAGTCACATTTCTGGCGAGTTCAGTCTATCTCTAAATGTATCCTTTCGCACCAAAACTCAAACAAAAACCCTCACTATCTGATCTACTAAGAATGGGACAAAGCGAAACACAGGGATGGCAACAACCCACTAACCTAGTGTGTGTCTAACCTCCTACCTGTCTCTGTAAGGTGTGAGTCCGTCCTTCGCTTGGGGATCTGGAGCGTCTCCTCTCACAGGAAGTGTCTCTGCTTCGCTCCTCAGAGTTACATCGGGAAACGTCTGGAGACAGCAGGTGGCGCCGCTCCTTAGATCGCCCTCGCTCGTGACTGCTGGTTTCTATGGGGTTGTTTTTAGGACCTGAGAGGCGTTTAACGGAAATAAAACCAACTCAGATCTGTGGCAAACAAATGTTTATGATACTTACACGTTTAGTTCAGCAGGATAATATCCACCTATTAACACCACTTTAGGATTTTGGAGTAAAATGCTAAATATAGAATACAAAGGTCGCATGACTTCACGTCACCACCGCTAAGCTAAAGGAGGCTAATGTTGGGCTATAAAGGAACTACAGCATGGTCACATGACTTCACCTCACCACCGCTAAGCTAAAGGTGGCTAATGTTGGGCTATAAAGGAACTACAGCACGGTCACATGACTTCACCTCACCACCGCTAAGCTAAAGGCGGCTAATGTTGGGCTATAAAGGAACTACAGCACGGTCACATGACTTCACGTCACCACCGCTAAGCTAAAGGTGGCTAATGTTGGGTGTGATGACGTTTAGTCGTCTCATTTAGACACTTGTTAGCAACCTCGGTTTTTAAATCCACCAGTGGGGTATCTACTGACGTATTTTATGTCGCAGAACAAAACGTTAAAATCTCTTCAGCTTGTGTTAACCACAGACCTTATTTTAGGATAAAAACACATTCAGAAAACCATTCAGGAGGGAACATGAAGTGCCAAAACGCTGCCTCATTTCCAGGTTTTAGGACTCATTCCTGCAGCACTTTATATTTATGTGAGTCGTGGTGCGTTCACTGACCTCTGTAGCTCTTCTGTCGTGGTCGGTACTCGCCGTCCGGACTGATTCTCTCCAGAGAGTGCTGCTCCTGCCAGAGGCCGTTCACACACTGATCCCCGATGGTGGAGAAGGAGCGCTTCATCAGCTTACTGTCTGCAGACATCCCAGCCTACAGAGATGGCAAAGTCACACATCCTTTACTCCAGTAGAAGTACAGATACTGGTGTTTAAAAATACTCTGGTAAAAGTAGAAGTACTGACTAAACTTCTTTCCTCAAGTCAAAGTAAAGAGGCTTTGAAGTGTACTTCAGTAGAAAGTACCCATAACTAGCAGCTGCTTTAAAGAGTACCTGACCTCCCTTTATATTAATAGAACAATAATGTCATTGTTAGCTAATGAATGTTTCCATGCTGAACAACGGCAACATGACAACGTTTCCATTGGTCCCTCTTCTTTAGAGAAGACCAGGAAATGATGGATACACGGATCGTGTTCAAATCAATAGGCACGCAATGACTCTAAAGAATAATGATCACGCATCAAACACACATTCAGACTAAAGGAACCAGCTGTTTGGGAAATGAGAGAAGTAGAAAGTACAGGTATTTGAGTTCAACATGTAAGAAGTAGAAAGTACAGGTATTTGAGTTCAACATGTAAGAAGTAGAAAGTACAGGTATTTGAGTTCAACATGTAAGAAGTAGAAAGTACAGGTATTTGAGTTCAACATGTAAGAAGTAGAAAGTACAGGTATTTGTGTTCAACATGTAAGAAGTAGAAAGTACAGGTATTTGAGTTCAACATGTAAGAAGTAGAAAGTACAGGTATTTGTGTTCAACATGTAAGAAGTAGAAAGTACAGGTATTTGAGTTCAACATGTAAGAAGTAGAAAGTACAGGTATTTGAGTTCAACATGTAAGAAGTAGAAAGTACAGGTATTTGAGTTCAACATGTAAGAAGTAGAAAGTACAGGTATTTGAGTTCAACATGTAAGAAGTAGAAAGTACAGGTATTTGTGTTCAACATGTAAGAAGTAGAAAGTACAGGTATTTGAGTTCAACATGTAAGAAGTAGAAAGTACAGGTATTTGAGTTCAACATGTAAGAAGTAGAAAGTACAGGTATTTGTGTTCAACATGTAAGAAGTAGAAAGTACAGGTATTTGAGTTCAACATGTAAGAAGTAGAAAGTACAGGTATTTGTGTTCAACATGTAAGAAGTAGAAAGTACAGGTATTTGGGTTCAACATGTAAGAAGTAGAAAGTACAGGTATTTGAGTTCAACATGTAAGAAGTAGAAAGTACAGGTATTTGGGTTCAACATGTGAGAAGTAGAAAGTACAGGTATTTGAGTTCAACATGTAAGAAGTAGAAAGTACAGGTATTTGAGTTCAACATGTAAGAAGTAGAAAGTACAGGTATTTGTGTTCAACATGTAAGAAGTAGAAAGTACAGGTATTTGAGTTCAACATGTAAGAAGTAGAAAGTACAGGTATTTGAGTTCAACATGTAAGAAGTAGAAAGTACAGGTATTTGAGTTCAACATGTAAGAAGTAGAAAGTACAGGTATTTGTGTTCAACATGTAAGAAGTAGAAAGTACAGGTATTTGGGTTCAACATGTAAGAAGTAGAAAGTACAGGTATTTGTGTTCAACATGTAAGAAGTAGAAAGTACAGGTATTTGGGTTCAACATGTGAGAAGTAGAAAGTACAGGTATTTGAGTTCAACATGTAAGAAGTAGAAAGTACAGGTATTTGAGTTCAACATGTGAGAAGTAGAAAGTACAGGTATTTGTGTTCAACATGTAAGAAGTAGAAAGTACAGGTATTTGAGTTCAACATGTATGAAGTAGAAAGTACAGGTATTTGAGTTCAACATGTATGAAGTAGAAAGTACAGGTATTTGGGTTCAACATGTAAGAAGTAGAAAGTTCAGGTATTTGTGTTCAACATGTAAGAAGTAGAAAGTACAGGTATTTGAGTTCAACATGTAAGAAGTAGAAAGTACAGGTATTTGTGTTCAACATGTAAGAAGTAGAAAGTACAGGTATTTGAGTTCAACATGTAGAAGTAGAAAGTACAGGTATTTGTGTTCAACATGAGAGAAGTAGAAAGTACAGGTATTTGAGTTCAACATGTAAGAAGTAGAAAGTACAGGTATTTGTGTTCAACATGTAAGAAGTAGAAAGTACAGGTATTTGAGTTCAACATGTGAGAAGTAGAAAGTACAGGTATTTGTGTTCAACATGTAAGAAGTAGAAAGTACAGGTATTTGAGTTCAACATGTAAGAAGTAGAAAGTACAGGTATTTGTGTTCAACATGAGAGAAGTAGAAAGTACAGGTATTTGAGTTCAACATGTAAGAAGTAGAAAGTACAGGTATTTGTGTTCAACATGTGAGAAGTAGAAAGTACAGGTATTTGAGTTCAACATGTGAGAAGTAGAAAGTACAGGTATTTGTGTTCAACATGTGAGAAGTAGAAAGTACAGGTATTTGAGTTCAACATGTGAGAAGTAGAAAGTACAGGTATTTGAGTTCAACATGTGAGAAGTAGAAAGTACGGTATTTGAGTTCAACATGTGAGAAGTAGAAAGTACAGGTATTTGGGTTCAACATGTAAGAAGTAGAAAGTACAGGTATTTGTGTTCAACATGTGAGAAGTAGAAGTACAGGTATTTGTGTTCAACATGTGAGAAGTAGAAAGTACAGGTATTTGTGTTCAACATGTGAGAAGTAGAAAGTACAGGTATTTGAGTTCAACATGTAAGAAGTAGAAAGTACAGGTATTTGAGTTCAACATGTAAGAAGTAGAAAGTACAGGTATTTGTGTTCAACATGAGAGAAGTAGAAAGTACAGGTATTTGAGTTCAATATGTAAGAAGTAGAAGTACAGGTATTTGAGTTCAACATGTAAGAAGTAGAAAGTACAGGTATTTGGGTTCAACATGTAAGAAGTAGAAAAGTACAGGTATTTGAGTTCAACATGTGAGAATGTAGAAAGTACAGGTATTTGAGTTCAACATGTAAGAAGTAGAAAGTACAGGTATTTGAGTTCAACATGTGAGAAGTAGAAAGTAACAGGTATTTGAGTTCAACATGTGAGAAGTAGAAAGTACAGGTATTTGAGTTCAACAATGTAAGAATAAAAGTACAGGTATTTGAGTTCAACTGTAAGAAGTAGAAAGTACAGGTAGTTGAGGTTCAACATGTAAGAAGTAGAAAGTCCAGGTATTTGGGTTCAACATGTAAGAAGTAGAAAGTACAGGTATTTGAGTCAACATGTGAGAAGTAGAAAGTACAGGTATTGAGTTCAACATGTAAGAAGTAGAAGTACAGGTATTTGAGTTCAACATGTGAGAATAGAAAGTACAGGTATTTGTGTTCAACATGTAAGAAGTAGAAAGTACAGGTAGTTGAGTTCAACATGTAAGAAGTAGAAAGTACAGGTATTTGAGTTCAACATGTAAGAAGTAGAATAGTACAGGTAATTTGTGTTCGAACATTAAGAGTAGAGAAAGTACAGTATTTGAGTTCAACATGTAAGAAGTAGAAAGTACAGGTATTGAGTTCAACATGTAAGAAGTATAAAGTACAGGTATTTGTGTTCAACAGTAAGAAGTAGAAAGTACAGGTATTTGGGTTCAACATTAGAAGTAGAAAGTACAGGTATTTGAGTTCAACATGTGAGAAGTAGAAAGTACAGGTATTTGA